TGTTTTTACTGATCCCTTCTTTTATATGAAATAAGTTAATGAAAAGAGGATTATTCTCTATACTACCGTGGATAAATTATTCACTTAAATTGGATGAACTGACAAATGACTGTTTTTAAGGATTCGTGTTTGGGAAATTTTCGTGAGCAGCTTTCTGACAGATTTAGTACTGTTATCTCAGGTTTAGTATGTGTGTCTGTGTGTATGTGTGTGTGTGTGTATATATATATATATATGTGTGTGTGTGTGTGTGTGTTTGCCATGATGCATGTGTGCTTGCCAGAGAGACAGAGAGAGAGCAAGAAAGGGAAAGTGAGAAATCTCTTCCCCCCCAGAGGGATGGCCATGCCACAGGCTCTTCTCCATTCTCCTCTTGGCGTTTTGGACATGCACACACACGTGCTTGGTATGATTTTCAAGCCGCCAGGTCCAGGACTCGAACCATGGTTGGCCATGTGGGAGTCTAGTGCCTAACTACCGCACCTCCCGCTGGCCTCAGTGCTGACCTATTTTATTAGGCATGTATTGTTCTCTGCCTTTCTTGCATTATGATCTTGGGCACCTGGACTTTGACCTCCAAGATCGCACGATCCAGTCGGTGTGGGGTTGGGAGGGACCTGTAGGTGAAGGAAAGATCCCAGTGACTGGTGAGATGTGTTATGACAGAGGCATCTTGGAGAGGTATCTAACTCTCAAGGGCAGGGCCAGGTGATTAGAGACCCCTCCCACAGAAGCATTGAGAGGTGATTCACCAGGGGTAGGTGGGGGCACTCATTTATGCAAAAGTGTGAAAGAACAGAGCCTGGTCCAAATGGCAAGGCAGCCATTGTGGCAAGTTGGGGCAGGGGAAGAAGGACTAGTATCTTCCAATAATGCAAATAATTGTTCCCTATTGTACTTTTTAAAAAAAGTATTTTATATGATTCCTTCTCACATCAGGACACTTTTCTATACTAAGTGGAATTTTACCACTGCGGTAAATATTTCCATTCCTTTTTTCCTCTGCAAAGTTTCATTAGCTCACTGGATTTAGCATTCACGTCTACACTGAAGCACATTAAAAAGATTTACAGCCATTTAATTGGCTCTCTCTTTCTCAATTACCTTTTCATATTCAAGCATGCATTTTGTTATGTATCTAAATTATACATTATTGTAAAGTACTGTGTTCACAATGGATCATTTGAAGAGTTTATGTATAAATTACATACAAGACGAGAAGATAATTCCCAAATCTAATGAAAAAGGAGTTATTTCCTGAACTTTAGCAACTTTTAAGCTTATGTTAATTCGAAGTAAGAGTAATTAACATCAGCACATGAAAAGGTCATCTGAAATCATTCTTATTCATACTTGTACATTTTAGTTTCGAATGTGTACAACATTTGTCATAAGGTGATACGATGCCTCAAATTGTGGGTTGTACCCTTATAATTATACTTTAGATTTTATTGTTATCATTTTTGTAACATACATTTAAATATTTAAGCTCTCTTTCAAAGTCTAAGCTTTTCATATTTTATGGATACTCAATGGAAAGCAGCTATTGTAGTGACGAAAAAACATAAAGAAAAGGGAAAATAAAGTAAGATTTGCTTGAAATTTAGACAGACATGGAAAGTTGCCAATTACATTTGTTGAATCAGTGACCTCATGGCAAAAGAGAAATGGTAATTCATTTTACTAGGAAGGTGACATTTGCTGACATAGGACATGTGTAAAGTAGAGTGAGAAAATGCCCTGGCTACAATTCCATGCCTAAGGTATGCCGGCCATTTCTTGAATATCTTTCTAGAAATGTTTATTTATAAGCGTACACATAGGGAAGCTGTCCTTTTGATTCTTTACAGGTGAGGTCATATGACACACTATTCTGTGGCTTGCTTTTCTTATTTCACAGTTATCCATTTGGAATAATAAGACATAATATGGGACCAGCGATGGCATAATGGCTATGTCATTGAACTCCCACGTAGTCGACCATGGTTCAAGTCCCCGACCCGGTGACTTGAACTTATGCTGGGCACATGTGCGTGCGTGCCCAACATCCCAAGAGGAGAATGGAGGAGAAGGGATTATGGCATGGCCTTCCCCCTTTGGTGGTGATTTCTCGCTTTCTGACTCTCTGTCTCTGTCTTTCTGGTGAGCACATGTGCCCCATAGCAAAAACCTCTCAAAGAAAAGAAAAAAAGAATAATAAGACATAGTAACCATAGTTAGTGTTTATTGTGTCAGACAATACGCTAAACAACTTAATATACATTATTTTTTTTATGCCCATAAGCCATTTTCACAAAGATGTTGAGCAACAGCGAGATTGAGAAACAGACTCAAGATCACATAGCTAGTAACCTGGACCTGGGCTTCAGAGACAGGGGCTATCCACAGAACCTAGACACTCCATCACCCTATTCATCCTCATGACATCATCACAAAGATGTTCTGTGTCATTCGGGTGTCAGAATCTGCATTTCTTTCCAGAACCCTAGAAGCCTGCCTGGCACAGTCATTCCCTACCCACCACCAGGGGTCCTCAGCCATTGTGGCAAATACCCCCGCCCCGCTCCCTTACCCCATGGGCAGGATAGCTTATTTTGCCCAGAGGCCCTTATACACCCGAGGGGCAGTGTTATATTTGCCCTAGAGATTTAAAGGATCTGACCTGAGCAGACATCTGAAATCCACTGAGCTTGTGCATGCACAGATCAAGACTTACTTGCTCACTGAATGCAGTTATGCATATCATTTTGGGTAGTAAAAGAATTTAACATGATTTTTCTTACATCTGGGAAAATAATAAGGACAAAAAATCACAGGCAAATAGCTTGACTTCGAATGAATACCAGGGGTGTCTTCAACCTGCAGCGAAATACAACCTGTGCTCTGAAATAGTCGGGCTCATCAGAGACCACCGCGGGTGGCAGCGTACAGTCAGGTCTCCTGCATTCGGGGAAAGCCTTGTGACGAACTTCATTAGAAAGCTTCCCTTTACTTAACGTAAAGGTACATCCTCAGGTTTCAAAGCCAGTTATTTTAAAAGACGTGAATCAAAGATCCTCTCTAGCCACATCAAATTATAGACAGAGGTTCAACGTTCAGTCTAGAAAGATCATAGTCAATAGTATTGCTTTTTTCACAGCTTGAAAATCACTTTCCTAACCCTACAGGGCCCAGGGAGAAGGTGTCTGAGGTAGACAGGTGGTCAGGTTTTGGCCACCAAGCCTGTGGGCAGAGTCATTCCAGCCCATCCATCCCTTATCTAGTCCAAAGGGAGATCCTCAGCCAAAGGCCATAGTTGTGGGTAGAATTAACTATGAGCAAATATCTGTGCCCACATTGTTCTTCTATCAAATTGGAGAGGTAAACAATACACTGATGAACAAATATAGGATGTAAAGACATGCAACACGAAATGCTAAGAAGAAAACAGACAGAAGGCTGTAATGGAGACCCACGGAGTGGGGGGTGTGGAGGAAGGCCTCTGGGGAGGTAGCACATAGGCTGAGAACCAAATGATGAAAAGATCGGCCCAGAGGGAAGGATGTGCAGAGGCTCTAAGACAGGGAGCCATGTGGCTGGGAAGTGGGGAGCGTGGGAATAGGCATAGCTGCAAGGGAGGCAGGAACTTGGAAGGCCTGAAAGTGAGGGATGTGCTGTTCCTCTACATGCAGAGGGCAGGCGGGCAGGATTTTATAAAGCAGGGCAAGGCTGTGTTCTGATTTCTGTCTTAATGTCACTCTGGTGGTTTTGTGGGGAGAGAGGCTTAGAGGAGGGTAAGAGGAAGCTGGGAGAGCTTGCAGGAAGCCTGAGCAATATTCCTGCAGGTGCTGGCTTACACTGGAAGTGACGATGGAGACAACAGGTGGGTGAGTTTCAGATCTGTTTTGGAAGTAAAAATTATAGGAGTTAATCAGGAATTAAATTTCAGTGTGGGGCCAGCAGATGGTGTGGTTGTTACATCACTGGACTCCTACAAGGACCCAATGACTTAAAAATCACGCTGGGTACGTGTGCATGCATGCCCAAGATCCCAGAAGGAGAATGGAGGAGAAGGAATTGTGGTTTGGTCATCCCCTTTGGGGGGGTGATTTCCCCCTCACTGTCTCTGTCTCTCTCTCCAGAGAGTACACACACCCTAAGGCAAAAATCTCTAAAATAAAATTAAAAAAATAGTGTGACAGAAAGAAGAGTATCAAGGTTGAGCCCCAGGAGTCAGGCTTGATTACCTGGATAGATAAGGAAGGTATGTGGAGGCTCAGATTTGGAAGAAGAATCAAGAGTTCATTTTGGAATTTCCTCTCTCTCTCTTTGGCCCTTTCCTTCGTTCTGCCCTTTTCTTTTTCTTTCTTTAAGCTGAAGTATTGTCAATTCTAAGGAGGCAGCTGGGTGTGACATCTGAGCTGAGACATATAAGTGGAGGTGTTGGAATTTGTGGCACTAAAATCACAATCCAGAGGAACCATGTGTGTCAGGATTGTAGAGACAGAGACAGAGAAAGGGAAGCTGGGGCAGAGAAGAGGGCAATGCGCAGGGTCCTTACTCCAGAGTAGGACCAGCTGTAAGGTTTGCAGCTGTCTGCAATGGGCAATGACCAGGCATTGCTTCATCCAGAGGCAATGAATGGGGACAAGTAGGGGCACAGAAAGTTCCTCATCTTTGTGCCAGAGATGTTCCATTTTAGGCGCCAGGGGAGAACTGAGCTATCTTGTGGAGTTTCTCCACCTAAAACAAGAGATGATCTATTTATTCATGAAAGCTGGATTGATCACTGAAAGCAAATGCAGCCATTCAAGTTTATCATACACTTTAAACTCAAATTGAATAAGGTAATGTCACTGTTTATTACTTTTACAGTAAATCAATCATTTGTGTTTCTATGACTAGAGTCACTCAAATCTCATTCTCTGGTCTTCTGTTGGCCCAAGTGACCATATACTTGTGTTGGACGATACCTCCTAAGAATCATCCCCTTATCACTTCTTTTTAATCTGTCTTCTCAGGGCCAACCAGGACCACCAGGGCCTCAGGGTCCAATTGGGCCCCTGGGACACCCAGGACCCATTGGGCTTCCAGGGGAAAAAGGAATGAGAGGTGACAGTGGCCCTCCTGGAGCAGCGGGGGACAAAGGAGATAAGGTAAAGCCACTTTGTCAGTGAAAGAGTCCCACTGGCCCCTCACCAGCAGCACTGACCACACTGTGCCTTACAATACGTTAAGTCTACACTCCTCGTCAATAGTCAGTACTCATTCCCAGCCCCTTCGCAGAGGAGCATGCCCACAGAGCTTCTCTGTGCACATAAATACATGTGCGTACCCAGTAAGGGGATATATCGTTTTATGGCTTTTTAAAAAAATCTACATGGGGGCCAGCCTGTGGCAGGGGAGTTAAGATGGCTGGATCCCACATGGCTGACTACGCTGTTCAAGTCATGGATTGGTGGCTTGAAAAACTGGGCACATGTGCATGCATGTTCCAAATCCTAAAGGGACAGAGATGGAGGAGAAGAGATTGCTGTATGACTATTCCCCACAAGGGGTGCTTTTTTGTTCCCTCTCTCTGTCTCTGTCTCTCTCCAGCAAGTGTACATGTGCCCTCTGGGAAGACTTTTAAACTACACAATATTATTGTGTAGTGTATTGTGGTGAGACTTTCTTTTCTTCACTCAACTGTATGTCTTAGAGATCATTCCTCATCAGTTTATGCAGATTGAATTTATTTCCTTAAAAAATTACCGTAATATGGATAAAACTATAGTTTATTCTCTATTGATGAGAATGTGAGACTCTGCCCCCAATTTAGTGTAAGGCAGCTGTGTGAAAGTCATCCCGTAAATCTCCTGAGTTCACAGTCAAGAGGTGTAGGAGAGACTGAGAGGCTGAATTTCTGGCTTACTCCACATGGAATGTTTCCTTTGAATTGATCCTGCCAAGTTGTCTTCCTGAGTGCATAATATGCCCACAGTGAGGCACAAAAGTTTCATTTTAAAATGTTAGCATTTATCCATCAATGCAAAATCAGGTGTCCATGACGGCTAAGTGGTTTAAAACATGAGTCATTGATTATTTGTGTTTTCATGTAAATCAACTTTTAACTTAATACTTCAGAAAATTTTATATCTTTCTTCTATTTTGTGGAATTTTAGGGTCCAACTGGTATTCCTGGGTTTCCAGGCTTGGATGGCATACCTGTAAGTATCTATGAATTTTCTCCATTGTTTTTAAAGGGAGAAACACTCATTAAAATCCTTAAAACCACATGTTCAAAATACACACACCTATACACACACACACACACACACACACTTTATTTGAAGAGCAAAATTTTCCAACAGTTTAGAGAAAACAATCCAGAATAGGATCTTGATATACTTGTCATATCAAGTACTATATTCTGGAAATAAATGTATGAATATAATTAAATTTTTTATTTGCTGGTTAATCCTAGCATTGAATTAGACTTAATATTCTCATTCTAATATACAAATCAAGAGGAATAAGGAAGAGGTACTTTGAGGCTTTACAATTCATTAGTCTTTCTAAGGACTTAAAGGAAATCTCCCAGAATATGCCAAACTAGATTCATTTCCATTTGGTTGTAGTAAGTTTAATTTTTTAAAATTTTTGCTATATTGCACAGCACTAGGGGGTGTGGAAGGAAATTTCCAAACTGAAACAAATAAACCTGTTGCTATAATTTGAGTATTCATACTGTGTAACCTTTGTGCTACAATATTTTTGCAAATTGCTTCACTGTCATTATTCTTCACAGGGGCACCCAGGGCCTCCTGGATCCAGAGGCAAACCGGGCATTAATGGCTACAATGGTTCACGAGGTGATCCGGGATTCCCAGGAGAAAGAGGAGCTCCTGGCCCAGGAGGCCCCCCAGTAAGTCGCCCTTAACTCATCCTAGTAGGAATCTCAAGTGAAAAGGCCCCACAGATAGAACAGACTTAGTGATTCAAGAAACAACATTAACCCATGTGTATCTGGAGAATGATGATCTAATGGAGGTGACGGGGGCGGGTGAGGGCAGAGAGGTGGGCAGGACATCGAACACAATGGCCCTTGTAGACTATGAAAGGGGACCGGCTATTCTTACCCATGCCGTGAGAAGGCACTGGGTGGTTTTAAAGAAAGAAGCAATACTTGAGGCCAGCAGGTGATGTGGTGGTTAAGGCACTGGACTCCCACATGGCTGTCCGTGGTTTGAGTTCTGGACCAGGCAGCTTGAAAAATCGCACCAGGTGCGTATGTATGTGTGCCCAACATTCTGAGAGGAGAATGGAGGAGAAGGGATTGCAGCCTGGCCATTCCCACTAATGAATGATTTTTTTTACTTTTCCTCTCTTCATCTCTCTCTGTTCCTCTCCAGTGAGCACTCATGCCCTATGGCAAAAACATAAAAGAGAAAGAAAAAAAGTAAGAGAAAGAAAGAAAGAAAAGAAAGAAAAAGAAAGAAAGAAAGAAAGAAAGAAAGGAAGGAAGGAAGGAAGGAAGGAAGGAAGGAAGGAAGGAAGGAAGGAAGGAAGGAAGGAAAGAAGAAAGTGAAAAGAAGCAATATGATCTGAGAGAAGTTTCATTAAGATGTCTTTGGCTGCTGTACAGAAAATGCATAGCAGGGAAAAGGGAGCAGAGAGGCCAGTTAGCAAAACTTATGTTGCTAATTATTCAGGGCCCACTGTATAAACATAAGTCTCTGTAGGTATTTCAAACATTAATGTTTTTAATATAGGAAGGGTGGCACGTGGAGTAGTGGTTGGTCACAACAGATCTCAGGTATTGTCATGACTACTGATTGCAAGGGCTCACACACAGCCAGGATCCAGAGCCAGGCAGCTTCTCTGACTCTACAGCCACTGCCTCACCCCTATGCCCAGACACCAGCAAACACACACTCAAGTTTCTACCTTCCTGCTTGGCAGCAACAGCAGACCAAGAAGAGGAACTCTTTCTCACTTCTGCCTTCCACATTTCCCAAGTGGAATTAACCTCATACCCCGCTGCAGAGGAGTCCGAGAAACGCAGTCCCAAATCTAGTTTGACTTTCTTGTCCCTGTAAGACAAGAAGATAAATTAGAGAAGGTTTGAAATGCATGTCCAGAAATATTGGGTCGGAAAAGTCATGACTCATTTTTTCATAAAAGACATAGAAAAAGGGAATAGTGGATGGTGTAATGATTACATTGCTGGACTCCCACGTAGTCGATGGCAGTTCAAGTCCAGGACTCAGTGGTTTAAAATTCATGCTGAGTGTGTGTGTGTGTGTGCATGCCCCAAATCCCGAGATGAGAATGGAGGAGAAGGGATTGCTTCGTGGCCATCACCCCCTGGGGGGAGGTGATTTCTTAATTTCTGTCTCTCTGTGTTTTTGGTAGATGCACGCATCCTATAGTAAAAAATTTCTCTCTAAAAAAGAAAATATGTCATGACTTACCCAATGACCTAATAGTTGACGCCACCTAGCCCTTGAGGAAAACTTCACAGCCCTTGTCCTTTATGTTTTTCTTTAAAATGGACTTTCATTTCAATATAACTTCAGCAAATGCTACCTCCTATATTCCTTGTCTCTCAACCCATTCTATTTCCTCTATCCCTTTTAATCCCTTTTCTCTTTCTTTTTCTCACTGAAATAAAGACTGCAGATAATTGTTTTTTCCAAGTTGGTTCTCTTTGACTGTTTTTCAGGACTCTTTGCCCTTCCCTGATTCCTTCTAAAGGATTGTCTTCTCATCCCCACTGTTGTCACTCTGCTCTCCACTTGTTATTCTTCTTTTTCCTTCAGATCTGAGCGGAACTGATCTGAACACAGAACTCAGAAAGAATTTCCATACTCACATTTTTCTTTTGGTACTAAGAAAGAACAACAACCATCTCTCATTGTTAAGCTTCTCATCCACCCTTTGATCTCGAACTCAGCCATTTGAAGATTCAAGTGCAGCCTGGTGAATGCACATTTCTTAAGCTCTTCAAATTGGGCCCAACCTCATTCTACTGATTCAGGAAGATTTGAGAGAGCCATTTTTGATTTAATATAGCATGTAGCACTGACCACAAAAGTGAAGTTTATCGTAATGGTCTCTTGGCGGTGTGGCTTTCTTACCTTTGACCATGTTGCACAGAAATGTGAGAATGTAAGAACTTTGCAGGTTAAAACCATACGGAGCAACCTTGGCAAGCAATGGGAAAAATTACTGTTGCTTTGTGGCCTTTAACCTGTTTCATTAAAACATGAAGAACTCTTTTACTGTTAGTTAAAAATATAGAGAAAAATGAAAACAATAAAACTAAGATTCATTTAGAACATTGTAATTTGAAATAGCGAGAACCCAAATGTTTGATTTCTTTGTAAAGACTTTTTAAGAATGCTTTGAACAGTGCTTGCTTCTTCTCATGCTATAACTTACGATGTTAAATGCACGTGTTTCCTATGCCTTGGCTAAACGCCATACCCTGTTCTAAGTCTGGGTCCGCTTCCAGAGTTGTGAAACATTTCTAAGAGCTCCTTTCATGTAAGGATTTCTGCCTGTGTCACTTCCTCCAGGATATCTTCATCCTTTCCGTGGTAACTATTGTCTTGTTTTAAGCTGTTCCGGTCATCTTCACTGAGTTTTTCGGGCTGTATACACAGGCTCTTCAATGACATGGTATAGCTGTTTCATCTATAACTTCATTCGCATTCTACTTGAATTTTACTTCCAGCATTGCCATTTTGAATTTCTTTCCTTCACTTTCACCTCTGTTGATCATTTCCTCCTTCAATTACCCATTGTAAAAATGTTATGTGGGTCTACGACAAAGATCTGAGGTGGTAGGACCAGTAGATGGCATAGTGATTACAATGCTGGACTTCTCCATAGCCGGCCATGGTTTGAGTCCTGGACCAGGTGGTTTGAAACTCACACCTGGAATAAGTACATGTATGCCTAAGATCCTGGGTGGAGAATGGAGGAGAAAGGATAGTGGCATGGCCATCTTCTTTTGGGGGGGTAATCTCTCACTTGCCCTCTCACTGTCTCTATCTCTTTCTCCTTCCACCAGAACATGCACCCTTAAAAAACTCTCAAAAAAAAAAAAAAGATTTAAGGAGGCAACAGAAACTCCAAGTTTTGCTGTCTGTGTGTCTATGTCCCCTGAATAATAGATGTGGAGTGACAATCACAGACAGAGTTGGAAAAAAGTGATGTGACCAGTCAGTGATCCTGATTCACATCTGTTGTTTTCGTAGTGATTTGGGGTTAGAAGAGCTAGCAGTGAGGCTTATACGTATGCAATCACTCAGTTAATTTACAGTTATAATTTAATTTGAACCATGCAGTTGGAGAACTGGTGTTATTTAATTTAAATGTGGAATTGAATTCATGCAAATTCGAACTGTGCAAAGTCTGGACTGCCTATATAGGCAAATCTCATTTCTCAAGTAAAGTATTGTCATAATTTACTATAAAACTGTTATGTCTATTTGAAGCAAAGTTTGACACTCCTGCCAGAGGGATTAGCTTTGAAATTTGTATGTCCATCACAGGAGCTTGATATTTGAAGATGGTAAATGTTTTTTAGGCTTTTGCCATAGGGCACATGTGCTTGACAGAGAGAGACAGAGACAGGGAAAGTGAGCAATCACCCCCCCCCACCCCCCAGGGGGATGGCCATGCCACAATCCCTTCTCTTCCATTCTCCTCTCAAGATTTTGGGCACACATGCACACATGCCTGGCATGATATTCAGACTGCCAAGTCCAGGGCTTGAACTATGATCAGCCATATGAGAGTCCAGTCCTTCACAGCCAGGACACCTGCTGGCCCTAAAGATGGTAAAATTTTTAGACAGTAAACAATTTAAAATATACTAAAATATTAAGGTGTTAAATAGTAAAACTTTAGTGGATAAAAAAAACTATATTGAGGTATTTTATTCACTTTCAAAAAATACACTAAAAGGGGGCCAGCAGGTGGTGTGGTGGTGAAGGCACTGCACACTCCCCCATGGCTGACCACAGTTTGAGTCCTGAACCTGGTGTCTTGCTTTCTCACTTCCCTTCTCTCTCTGTGTTCTTTCTGGTCAAATGAAAATAAATGAATGCATGAATAAACTTAAATAAATAATTCTTTTTTAAAAAATACACCAAACAAACTAGCAGCTACATACAAAAACCTCCTAAAAGGAACATGTTATGCTTTTATAATGTTAATCAGACAAAGGATGCATAGACTATATTTTTAATACACATACTGAAGTGAATAAAATATCTTTTATTATTTCTATGGCATAAATTAACTAACAACTGCAAAATTGGTTATTTGTAAGAATAATGCATATGCATTTCAGTGTGAAAAAAATGCAATTTTTCTGTTGAGTAACTAGCAACTGATTAGATATTAGCAAGTGCATTGCCTTAGGAGATTTCTTACCCAATCTTAGCTGAGTATTGAGTTAATATGTATGAAAACCTAATATTTATTAGGATGTTCCTAATAACAAAGAGGATAAACAAATCTTCACTAATGAAACATGATCATAAGAGTAAGTGTATTGCTTAGTAAAACTTCATATGGAAAAGAAAATATTGAAATGGCAATGAGCTATTTTTCTCCTTAAGTGAATTTTTTTTTTCAGGGCCTTCATGGGGAAAAAGGAGAAAAAGGAAATTCAGTGTTTCTTTTAGGTGCCATTAAAGGTGTTCAGGTAAGTGATGAACATGGTAGGTTTCATGTTTTTCCAAGTAGGTAAGCCATACAGGACAGGTGTGGACAAGGAGGTCCTTCGAAGAGGACGCTCACAGGCGTGTACAGACGCAATGTCTTTCGTCATGTGGACTCTAAATTCCCATGTCTCCAAACTATTCAGAAGCATGAGAGGTATATTTATTTTAGGGTTTCTCAGTTTTGGTGCAATAGATATTTGAGGCCAGATTAGTGAAAATGGTGAAGCAACAGGAAGATACAATACATTTTCAAGACTTGCGTGACTCTCTTAGGGGAGAACAGTCCACAGCAATAAGATAAAACTAAATTGCTTCTATCTGTGCCACTTTGGGTGGTACAGAACTGAGGGGTGAGAACTCGAGAGAGTTCGCAGAATTTGTACCCTCTGTTCCTAGTTAGACTTGTTAAACAAGAGCTATGGTTTTGTTTACAGTTTAAATGAGATGTTACTAAACTTAGCGTCAAAAGCTGAGGTATTCCAATGAGGTGTACAGTGTATTAGTCAAAGTAAACAGAAACCACTGGGACTTCAAGGAACTCTCTTAACCTCTCTGCAGCCATCTTTCCTCATTTGTCAAAGAAAAAGGCAGATGTGAGAGCATTTCCACATGAATTCCTTCTAGGTTCACTCTAGCACAGTCAATGGAGCAAGGCGTCTAAAGCAACGGAAAGCTTGGCAGTGAGACCAGAGATGGTTAAACTGTGAGGAAATGGGGCCATGGGATTGAGAATTTGGAAAAGTTTAAACCAAAAGACAAAACCTCATCTTGATTTCATGTAGCTATGACTCAGTCTTTCTCTGGTTTCAGCTAATTAGAGGAAGAATTCAGGGCATTAGAATGGAGAAAGAAAATCACCTCCAGAGAGTCCTCCTGAAGTGACTTCTCAACATGGAAAAATTGTACAAACTGCACAATTAGATCAGTCCAAATAATGTGTGTTTCTCTACTCTTCCATAATCTGTGTTGTAGAAAAATTGTGTTGCTCTTATAAAGTAATGTATCCTTATTGCAGGGAGACAGAGGAGATCCAGGACCGCCGGGCTTACCAGTAAGTCTTCAGAACAGGCCATGTGTTTCTACTTCTTCCTCAAATGACCCCCACTTAATGTTTAACTTTAGGTTTGAATGATATACGGCCAGCTACATAACTGGTGGGGCCCACTTGGTACAAAATGACAATTTAGGTACCTGTTCAACAGTTATTAAGAATTTCAAGATGGCGCCAGCAGAAGACGAGCTAAAGCATGGGTCCCATGTGATGGCACAGACCACAGGCCCATGAAGCCAGCCTGGAAACTCTACAAGCTGTCTCTGATCTTCCTTATCTATCTTTTAATGAATTTTTGGCCTTGCTCATGTACATACAGCCACCCAATAGTTAGGAAAGTAACTATGGTTAACGAATCAACTGATTTTTCTCATGTCTAGGGCTCTAGGGGTGCAAGAGGACCAGCTGGCCCCAGAGGATATCCTGGAGAGCCAGGGTCATTCGTAAGTACCACAAGGCTGATGCTGACCCTCTAAGAACCGAGATTGCACATTATAGTGAGAAAGCAAAGTTGCCATCTTGGGTCACACAGAGGTGGGGTCACTGAAATTGTAATCTGAAAACACACCGTTAGCAGTGAGATCCTCCTGAGAGCTCAGGTCCTCTGAGGATAAGCCGCTGACCATCTTATGTGTAACAACGGCCCATCCATGATAGACAGTCCATCATGCATAGTTTAAAATTGAGGGTTTCCTAAATAGGAATTTGAGGCAATGAAGATATATTTTAATTTCTATGATGAATCATTGATTTTTGTTTTGTTTTTTGTTTTTTGTTTTTTTTTGCTTTTTGTCCTTGCCATTGTTTTAGGGACCTCCTGGCCATCCTGGAAGTCCAGGTTTGAAGGTAAGCAGCCATGAGTACGATACATAAATAAAGCCCACGCAAGAATAAATGATTGCTGATACTTTTCAGCATTATGTGTTTTTGCCGACCAAATTTCCTGGAATTCTTACTCACTTTAAATTACTTTTGTAAAATTCAAAAGGAATTCAATTTCTTTTCTTTTCCAGGGTAATCCTGGCATGGGAGTAAAAGGCCAAATGGGAGACCCGGTAAGAACCCAATCCCTTTTTGCAGAGTTGCTAATGGTGAAATAAATGTGAATGCTTCCCAGTCATGGCGGCTGTTCTGATTATTAGTTCACTTGTGTTCATTATCCAATCACTTTGTGATTCTACGGCTTAGAACTTCTGGTTGCCGAATGATAATGGCAGCAGTACGCTTTACTGTAAAATGGCCATTCTGTCTAAATTTAACACTATATTCAAGGTCATTTATAAATGCGTTTCTTCCTAGGAAAAAGATAGACTATTTTTGATATTATATTATATCCAGAGTAAGTTTTGTTAAATTATTGATTTGTTTGGGTTAATTTCACAAGTTTCATAAACTCTGTACGTAAGTATCAATATGAATACAAATAAAAAATACAAATATAGGAACCAGCAGATGGCATAATGGCTATGTCACTGGACTCCCATGTAGTCGACTGCGGTTCGAGTCCTGGACTTTGTGGCTTAAACTCATGCCGGGTGCATGTGCATGTATGCCCAAGGTCCTGAGAGGAGAATGGAGGAGAAGGAATTGTGGCATGGCCATCCCCCTGGGGGCTGATTTCTTGCTTTCTGTCTCTCTGTCTCTCTCTGTCTTTTTTGACAAGTGCACATACCCTATAGCAAAAACCTCTGCAAAAAAAAAAAAAAAAAATTCAAATATAAATAACCAGAACCAAGAACATTTAGCAACATGCAATCTTCAACTTTACTCACAGCCTTCCTCACTGTCTGCCACCCTCCAACTCTTCACACTCTTGGTCCTTTCTGCTGAAATGTAGTAAGGACAAGCTTTAGAAAAGTGATTTAAGATGCTAGCTCACCTGAATGTCCAGCAGTAGGTCAGGAGCTTTTTCAACAACTGAGGTAAAAGAGATACTGAGAACCTGCTTTATGCCAGGCTGGGCTTGTCACTGGGATTTAGCAAGAAAGGCTCATCCCTGCTCTCATGGAGTTCCAGTGAGATTAAGTCATGGAACAGTCATTTAACAGAACAAGAAGATTGTCAAAGCTATATAGGGGGACTCCAAGGTGGGGAAATGCCTATGATACCATGTTGAGCAGAAAGTACACATTATAAAAGTACGGTTCAACTTTGTAAGAGCAATAACAGAACTATACTAACATATACACGTAGGGATTTCATCGCCTCAGTGCTAGTAGTATTTCATTGTTCAGAAAAACTGTGGATTGAGGAGTGTTCAGCAACATCCCAGACCTCTACCCACTAGATGCCAACAGCATCCCCTTCCCCAGGTGTAACAACCCAAAATGTCTCAGGACCCTGCCAAATGTCCCTGGAGAGAGAGGGTGTCCAGTTATCTCCTTACCTCCTTGGGAAACACTGACTTACAGAAATGGCTTCATGAAAATATATGAATACAATGTTCTTCAACCTTGAAGGTCACGAGCTCCTGAAAATGTCTGTCTCAGCCCCAGAAGCCCAGGCATTCCCATTGAGAAGCACTGCATTGTAGTCAAGCAAGCATTGCCCATTCGGCCACCGTCAATGCCAAGGCTATTAACATACTTGCAAACTCAGGCTGTAGAGTAACAGACGTATGTGACTAGGAGGTGGTTGCTCAAATGACCCAAAATGTACTTACATTAATTCTTTTACAGTGCATAGGCATTTAAAAAAAAAAAAAAAAAAACGAGATTCTGAAGAATTTTTAGTATAATAGGAAAATACTTACAAAAGATTTTAACAAAAAAGATACAATGATTTAAACATTTAATAAAATATATTGTATATATTGAAGTATGTTTATATATTTATTAAATAGCATTATTCTGACTACAGTGTATTTTCAATGACATTTAATAAGCCTTTGGTTTTACTTATCTTTTAAGGTTTTTGCCCTAGAGCACATGCACTCACTGGAAGGAGAGAGAGAGATACGAAGAGGGAAAGTGAGAAATCACCTCTGGGGGGGCGGGCGGATGGCCACATGCAATAGCTTTTCCTCTACTCTCAGGATGTTAGGCACACACATACACGCACCCAGTGTGATTTTCAAGCTGCCGAGTCTGGAACTCAAATCGCAGTTGGCTATGTGGGAATCCAGCACCTTAACTACCACACTATTTTCTGGCCCCTGTAATCATTTATTCACAAATACTCACATGTATGCATCATACACACACATACAAATTACACACATACACCAAAAGAAACTCTACCAAAGTTTTAATAGATATTAGCTCTAGATTCGTAATATGTGTTACATTTTAATATGAAAAACAATAACCATCATTTCAAGATACCAATGTATTATGTGTCATGATTTACATCTTAAATCACAGCACATAAGGTAAGAAGCATTATACCACACAACCTGAGTGAATGTCTTCGGGGCTGTCAGGTGGCATGGTGGTTAAAGGTGTTGGACTCCCACATGGTGACCACGGTTTAACACCTGATGGCTTGCTTTCTCACTGTCTCTCTTGCTCTCTCTCTCTCTCTCACTCTATCCCTCTCTGATCAAAAAAAAATAATGGATAAAGTTAAATAAAAGAATTCTTTAAAAAATTTTTTTTAAGTCTTAAAACATACATTAAATTAAATTAATTTTCTTGATCTTGTTTTAAAGGGTGAAGTTGGCCAGCAAGGTTCCCCTGGACCCACCCTGTTGGTGGAGCCCCCTGACTTCCGTCTCTATAAAGGAGAAAAGGTAATTCCAAATCCGCGTGTTGCCTTGGTAGGGCAGTAATAGAAAGCGTTTCCTGGACAGGTACCAGGTAGCAGTGTCCTGCACCTTACTAAATCCTGCACTAACTTCAAAGCTGCCTTACCAAGCCACTGTGGGCAGCTGCACTCTACAGAGTTGAACAATGAGGCGGGAAAGTCCTGATACGCTCAGGTTTTCCCAGCTGCAGAGCAGCGGGCCTTGCTCAGTCGTGACTTCGTCCCTAGTGCAGTGCCCCACTAATGTTGTTTTGATATGTGTTTTGGGGGACTAAAAAGACTCCTTGAGGCCCAGTTGTCCTTTAGCTATTACAGATAGGTCTGGCGTTCTGTTCACTGAAAACATAGCAAAAGCATAGAGCTGGGCAAGTCATGGATTCTCTGCAGATTATAATCCCTCGGTCAGTGCTCAGCACTGGTTTTACCAATGCCCTGTGCGGATTCTGCTGTTGCTTCTCCATCCACAGGATTTTGTTTCTCTAACTAGACCAGCCACAGCAGTGGCAGTAACAGAAAGCTCTGCAATGTGGAGGCCATCGGGGAGGTCTCTCTGTCCGTGCAACCTGCCTGTGATCCTGGCTGGCTCATTCTGGGGTGGACTGCAGTGCGAAGACCCCATTTGGGGTGCTTCTCTGTTTTTCTCTATATATATCACTTTCTTTATTTCTCATAAAATAAAGAAAAAAATCTCTACCTTGTCCAAGATGAGAGCCACGTCCCTCAGTGGCTGTATTCCCAGCTGCACTGCCACCTGGTCCCACGGTGGTCCATCCCTGCCCTCCCACACCTCTCACACGGAACTGGCCTGAATAGTGGTAGGTTTCTAAGTGTACTGGATCTTAGTTGCTAATTAGTGACAGAAAAGAGAAATCCCTTATCTTAAAAGCTAGTGAAGGCCAGCTGGTGGCATGGTGATTAAGGCAACTGGATTCAATTCAAGTCCTGGATCCAGAAGCTAGAAAAACATGCTGGGCGTGTGTGCATACATGCCCATATCCCAGAAGGAGAACTGAGAAGGTATTGCAGCCTAGCTATCCTCCTTGGGGGGGACTTTATCACTTGCTCTCCACTCCCTCCCCCACTCCCATGAGCACGCAGTGCCCTATAGCAATATGTGTGTTTGTTTGTTTTTACTATAGGGCACATGCACTCACTGGAAAGACAGAGAGAGATAGAAAGCGAGAAATCACCCCTCCGGGGGGCATGGCCACACTGCCATTTCCTCTTCTCCACTCTCTTCCTGGAACCTTGAGTACACACGCACAGGTACCCAGTTGAGTATCAAGTTGCCAGGTCTGGAATTCAAACCATGGTCAACGACACGGGAGTCCAGTGACACAACCACTATGCCATCTGCTGGTCCCTGTAATTTTTTTTTTTTTTAAGATGTAAAGCTAGTAAAACAGTATAAGAAAGAGATGTGTTCTGAAAGAGATGAAATTTAATTGTGTTAAATAAGAATAAGCCAATTTATTTTCATTGTGTTTGTGGTTTTTTTGTTTTTAGGGTATAAAAGGAATTCCTGGAGTGACTGGACTGCCGGGACCACCAGGACCCAAGGTCATCTAAGAACCCCTTTTCTTTCCACTTCTGTGATATGCTGTCCTAATCTAGAACTTATTTTGCATGGCCTTTGCCATGGCTTTAAATCTAGCATAGATGAAGGACTTCAACACGTTTGTGAAAGTATGTAATGAAAACATAGGTTTATTTTGTACAAAACCCGTTGAAATCCACACAGAGGTGTATATTATATAGACATAGAATACGTATTTCCCATGATCTTCTTAACTATTGTCCTATTCCTAGATTGTTTTAGTATTTCATTGTAATTCTGTAGGGCCTTCCTTCTAAAGTAGTTGTTTTCTCTAAACTGCTGACAATCATTTCTGTTTCTCATTCTGTTTTTGCTTTCCACATTGCTGAATATTGTTGCTGAAACGCCTCTAAATGTTGCCACCTCTTAAAGGGAGAACCTGGTATTGGGGCAAAAGGAGAGAAAGGTATACCTGGATTCCCAGGACCTCGGGTAAGAATAATTGGTCAACTTGGGTGAATTTGGAAGTATTTCGCTTCCCCAGTTTTATAAGCCTCAATCGGTATTTCTAGAAATGGAGATGATGTCATAGAAGACAATATATTTTGGAACGACAAGGCCAGTGTAGTAGCTCAGTGTCCCGGAGCACGCAGATAAAACAGGCAGCCCCAGACAGAATTGGGAGGAAACTGCAGGATGGTGGCACCTCTGTCTGACTCCACATCGGTGTGATTGGTGGCTTGGAATGAATACTTTTGATAAATAAAGTGGTAATCTGGGGGCAAAGAAGGACACTATCAGGCCCGACACATCACCCTGTGTGTCGCTGGTTGGGGCAAGTGCCCAGCTGGCATCGGCAGTGGTTTGGTTCTAGGGTTCATGTTGAATGGGGCAAAATTGGCTTCCGAGGCAATTTTATTGTGGATGGTGCACAAGGCAGCTATTAATTTCCAGGCAAATTACACGGCAGTGATTTCAAAGATAGTTGGCATAATGCAAGAATTAAGTAAATTAAAGCTGGCAGAGCAACAACAAAAGTGTGTTCTTAATTGAAACACTGGCAAGAGCATGCATTTTTTTGAATGAGATTAAAGATCAATCAAAGTAGCAAATGTTATTATCAAATGGAATCTAGCTTGCGTGGTTTTTCCCTTTTATTCAGCTAGGTTCCCCAGCAAGGCTAACTATCTGGGACGATTGGGTCAGTTCGTAACTGATGTGTGGAGCTGGTTTATACAGTGTGATTTGACTCTGCACGTGTGGCTTTTTGTGAATTTTTAGGGTGACCCTGGTGCCTATGGATCCCCAGGCTTTCCAGGATTAAAGGTAAATGTACATTATTACAGATGATCCACACATTTTCAGTCGTAAATGCAATTCAGTATCGTTCCAAACTTGGGCTATTGCGTGCGAACTCCCGCAGTCACTGGGAGGCAGACACATCCCTTTAATGGATTGTGGCATTTAGCTGCCGGTGCAAAAGTTGAAGCCCCAAACTGAGTGGGGTTAGACTTTGCACAGTATCTCAGGGAGCATAAAACCAGAATGAGATCATTTGTCATCTCATCATTTTTTTTTTTTTTTATTAAACAACGTATGCTTGGGACCAGCAGTTAACATAATGATTATGTTGCTGAACTCCCATGTAGTTGACTGAGGTTTGAGTCCCAGACCCGGCGGCTTAAACTCACACCTGGCACATTTGCGTGCGTGCCCAAGATCCCGAGGAGAATGGAGGAGAAGGGATTGCAGTGTGGTCATCCCCCCGGGGAGTGATTTCTTGCTTTCTGTCTCTGTGTCCCTCTGGCAAGCACACATACCCTGTAGCAAAAACCTTTTACAAAAAAAAGAGGTATGTTTGTGCTTATTTGTAGGGAGAACCAGGACTGGTTGGAGCCCCTGGGCTGTTTGGTCATCGTGGCCCAAAGGTAAAAATGTGAGCCTATTTGAATATACCCAAATAAAAATGTACATTTTATATAAAACCCTAACAATAACCTTGTGTGATCTAATTTATTTGAAAAAGTATTTCAAAGAATCATTCCAAAATATAACGTTTGAAAAATGCAGTTACTTTTCTGTATTTTAATGCATGATTATCATATTTTTATATCATCATAGTTAACATGATTATGTTTTAAACTTGAGAAACATCACTTTGAAGGTGAATAAGAATGAAAATTGTGGGAACAACAGTTGGTGTAATGGCTATGTTGTTGGACTCCCATGTAGTCAACCGTGTTTCGAGTCCTGGACCTGGTGGCTTAAACTCATGCCAGGCACATGTGCATGCGTGCCCAAGATCCTGAGAGGAGAATGGAGGAGAAAGAATTGCGGCATGACCTTGCCCCCTGGGGGGGTGGTTTCTCACTTTCTGTCTCTCTGTCTCTCTCTCTCTCTCTCTGGCGAGCACATGAACCCTATAGCAAAAACTTCTCAAAAAAAAAAAAAGAAAAAAGAAAAAAGGAATGAAAATTGCAAAACTTTCATGGGATTATATAGTGATAAGATTATGAACAGAGAGGGTCTGTTTTTACCAGCATCACATTTTTTCCTTTCCTTCATAACCTCTGTGACCTCACTTTCAGTATTTGCTCAGGACAAGCCACTGGGCCCTTAAAGAGATACAATTAAGGGGGACAGTATTTGCTGCTCAATTACGATGCAGCTTCAGCGCTTGCTAGTGAATAAACTGTTTGTCCTAAAGTGCCAAGTTAGACGCTGGTGCTTACAATTGATTGCAAATTGTAATTTACCTAAAATACTTAATGACTACAGCTGCTCGTTCGTGGGCATAGACTAACTGTGTAGTTAAGTTTTTTCTTTTGTGCTGTTTATTCCTACTGGTCGGTAGGAGAGTGGATGCGTCTTTGTTCTTACTAGAACTTAATAAACGCTCACATTTCTCTAGTCACTGCACTGTCTTTACTTCTTAGACGAACGTGCGAGTTGCTTTTCTAATATCGGTTTATTTCTAAGAAAAGTGAATGAATGAATGATTTCAGGGGGACCCTGGGGACCGCGGGCACACTGGACCACCGGGTGCTTTGGTAACTCCACCTGTTCCACTCAAAGGTTTGTGTTCCATTCAGTTCCTTTATAGAGTCTGTGGGAACGGGATCTGACGGTCAGGCAGAAGTCGTCGGGCTCAGTATTTCCACAGCTCACTCACTAGACGGGCTCAACACGGGAACCTTAGCATGAGTGTGTAATTACACATGTGCAGTAACGTGTATCTTAGTTTGTCTCCTCTGTCGGCATGAATCATTAGACCTTATTTCTGTGTGTGAATTTGCACGCTGGGATTTTTATCATGTCACCTTTCAGAAAGTAAATTTTTTTAATTCATTAAAACTGTAAGAAACCATTTGAGTAATACCTACCAAGATGTTGCCACCAGGAAACTAGCATCCTAAATTAATGACAAAGAGACCCCCCCACCTCGAGTTCATGTGTCTGCAGAGATAGGGTAACAGAAGGGGTCAATCTAAGGTACTCCATTTAAATGGGGTAAGAAGTTACAGAAGAGTTTCCTGCTTATACTTTACTAAGCGCCCCCAAAAGGCATTGAATTTTACAATGTAGATATATAATACTTTTGTTTACTCATACGTATCATTGCCTTCCGCAGGCCCTCCAGGGGACCCTGGGTTTCCTGGCCGCTATGGAGAAATGGGGGCCATGGGACCACCTGGCCCCCCAGGCTTCCCAGGCAGACCAGGCGAAGCCTGCGCAGGTACGAACCCTCTGGCTTCTACAGTCGGGTTTCCTACCTTATCGTCAACACCAGTGGCTCCACTCTAGCTGACACAGAAATTCTCTTTAGAGTGGTAAAACAATACTGGCCCAGCCACAGTGGCTCGTGCTGTTAAGTCACTGTGCTCCACTGGTGGGGACCACATGGGAGGCCTGGATTTGAGTCCTGGTCCAACATACAGGCCAGTGTGGTGCTGTGTGTTTGTAACCCCAGCGACTTGGGGAGACAGACAGGAGGATTATGAGCTCCAGGCAACATAACAAGACCCTGTCTAAAAATAAATAAATAAATAAATATGGCAGTGTGTGTCTGTGGCCCTAGCTACGAGGCTGGGCCAGGAGGACCAGACCAACGCAAGACTCTGACTTAAAAAAAGGGGTGGGGGCAGCTTCATGGGGAGTGGTAATATGTTGTTCAAGAGGGACCAGCAGTTGGAGTAATGGCTATCTCGCTGGACTCCCACGTAGTCAACCACGGTTCGAGTCCCGGACCCGGTGGCTTAAACTCATGCCTGGCTCATGTGTGTGCGTGCCCAAGATCCCAAGAGGAGAATGGAGGACAACGGATTGTAGCGTGGCCATCCTCCCTGGAAAGTGATTTCTCTCTTTCTGTCTCTCTGTCTCTCTCTGTCTTCCTGGCGAGCGCACACACCCTATAGAAAAAAATCTCTCAAAAAAAAAAAATGTTCAAGAGAAGCTGATCCCACATGTGACCCTGCTGTGTGGCTGTGGCTCAGATCTCCGGTCTCATCAGCCAGAAGAGACAGCTAGGATCATACAGGCACATGCGGGAGTGTCCAAAATCTGATGGACTCAGGACCAGGGCAGGAGATTGCGGCGTGACCAGATCCTGTGGAGGGTGCTCGTGCCTCTCCCTCTCTCCTCCCTTTCCCACTCTCACAGGCATGTGCACGTGCTCTGTATGAATAAATAAAAAGAATCCTACACCCACGTGTGCCCACCCCAACCAAGAAAGGTAGGCTCAGGGGAATGAGCCCAGCATCTGCTAATATAAAAGTCCCATGTATTTCTTTCTTTTTAAAAAATAATTATTTATTATTATTATTATTATTATTATTATTAAAATTTGCTATAAGGTGTGTGCGTTCACTGAAGAGAGAGACAGGGTAGGGGGAGTGAGAAAGCAAGCCACCAGGTCCAGGAGTTGAACCACATGCAGTCGGCCATGTGGGAGTCCAGTGCCTTAACAACATCACCTGCCGGCTGTGGTTCCGTGCTTATAATGTGCAGCCAGGGTTCAGAACCTCTGAACTCAAACCAAACAATCACTTCCTTGGAAGGAATTCCTCAGGTGACCTCAGAGACAGTCAACGTCCCAGGGCTATGGAGGCGCATGCGTGTGTAACAGGCCCCATCGCACACAGAGAGGATCTGACGCTGGTCAGGCCGGTTTCTTCCGTCTTCCCACCTTCCTGGAAGGCTCTCCTTGTTGATATCTACTTGTAAAATGTAGCTTTAGCCACCTAGGCCCTGACATGAGTCTCCCACATGACATGTGGAAATAAAAATTATGAGGGAAGAAACTTAGTTTGATTCAGCCTCACATTTTTTTTATTTAAAAAAGATCTTTTCCTACCCTCCTCCCCCCAAATAAAAACAAAAGCAAGAAATCTATAGGTCACAGTGAGATTTGCTTAGAAGCCCTGAAAAACAAGTCCTATGGACATAAGGACTCTCGACCCCTTTGGGTGCCATGCTGATTAATTTCCTAGTATGAAATTAATATGAAATTAACAGAAGTTTATTTTCGAATGTTTCTTCTTATTAGCAGAGCGTATGAACACTCACCAAAGTGAGGGAGAGGAAGCACTCCCAGTGGAGCATCCCTCTGCTGCAACCCCTCTTCCTCCATTGCCCCACTCCGTCAGAATGTCGGGCACGCACGCACACGCGTCCAGTGTGTTTTTAAAGCCATAGTAGCCAGGACTCAAACCACAGTTGGCTGTGTGGGATCCGGCTCCTTTAACTGCTGGTCGATAGGGACAACCCAGTAAGAGAAGTTTAGAGGGTATTTGTATTCTGTGAACCAAGAGAACTGACTAACCGGTGAGGAGAAAAGTCTTCAATAAACGTCACTTTATCCAGCCTGTGTCTCTTGTTCTATTTGCTGAGAAAGAGAAAGAAGTTGCCTGAGATGCTCAGCCACTGCCACAGAATTCTTGTTTAAACGTCCTGAGGTCCAGGTTCGTCTCTGTAGGCTCTGAGGACCACGAGGTAGTCAAACTGAACCTTGGATGATATGAGCTTGACTTAACCGACCCAGGATGATACTCGTAAGTCACAGAGTTTCGTGTCGGTCAGAAAGCACTAGCTCAGGGTCCTGGATTTTGCATTCCTACCTTGTTTATAATAAAATAGTGCTTCCAGCAAGTCGAGATTGAAACCTAACAGGAATAGGGAGAACGTGTCTTTGGCAGATTCAAACTCAGATATACAGGAAGTCTCTTCATCCTGTACGTCTTTTTTCTTTAATTAAAAAAAATAATAATAAGTTTATTTCCTCTATGGGCAAGAGAGAGACAGCACCCCAGCGGCTGTCAGTGCTGTGCTCTGCCCCATGTCAGCAGACCCAGACCATAGGCACACATGCATGTCTGACATACCGGGGAGGTCACCAGATCAACTCTCCACGTGGGGCAGCCTCACAGTTGTCGTGTTTTATGTGGCACCATCATCCCGGCCCTCGTAAGCCTTTGTAAAAGGAAATAACCCAGGGCTAGCAGGTGGGGTGGTGGTTGGGGCACTGGATCCCACACGGCCAACTCCCAGTTTGACTCCCAGACCTGGAAACTTGAAAAACACGCTGGGCACATGTGCATGTGTGCCCAAAATCCTGAGAGAAGAGGGGATTGTAGGGTGACCATCACTCCATCCCAGAGGAGTGTGATTTCACACTTTGCCTCGCTCTCTGGTGCACATGCAAAACAAACAAACAAAACAAAACAAATAAAAACCAGGATTAAACCCATAACTTTCTATTCTTGACGATGGCCCATAGTAAGCAATGAATTTCATTTTGCATTATATTTATATTACATTATACAAATGTGTATATCCTTATATAGAGATGACCAAAACACATATTCACAAAATAACATCTTTTTGATATATGGTTCATTCCATTTTTTATTCTATTCTTATCTGTAGAAAAATGAATTTTTTTTTATTAAAAAAATCACTTGCTAATTTATTCATTAATGTGTTGTCAGATTTAGTTTTCTATACATTATGATGTTTATTCTATTTTATTGGATATACACATATTTAAAACATTAATGTTACATTATGATTATATAAATATTTTCTGAAAAAATTTATTATTATTTTGTAGCAACAAACTTGAAACAAGTCTCTTCCAACTCAACTAACTCATGTAAATATTATTGTTCAGTGGAAGCTCCTCTGAGGATCCGGTGTAGAAAGTTCCAGTCTACAGAACGCTGATGTGCTACAGAGTATCTAGTTAAAAGGATTTTGTAATGAACATGCTTTTCTTTGATATGATACAGAACAAATGTTTCATACTTCCTAATAATGATTCAAATCTATTAAAAATATATTCACCTTTAAAAAGCACACACCATTCACAGGTTCAAATTTTTACTATTTTAAAATTATAGAGGTCTTTTACAGTACAATATTTAAATGCCCTTTAAGTAGTTAATGTGCAATGAATATCTTTTCTGAAACTCAACCTTGAATTACAAGTTCATCCATATGCCTATTCTAAACCGACATAAAGACGTTGGAAGGTTTGAGAACTGCATCTGAAACGGTCATTGGCACAGACTTTTCCTTTTAGAACCCAATGACCCATCCATTGAAAGTACTTCTCGGGGAGCAGCAGGTGGCATGGTGGTTAAGGTGCTGGACTCCCATGTGGCTACTGTGGTTCAAAGTCTTGGACCCAGCTGCTTGAAACTCATGCGGAGTGTGTGCGGGCATTCCCAAAATCTCAGGGATTGCAGTGTGGCCATACCCCGGGGGGTGGGGGTGATTCCTCACTTTTTTTCCTCACTGTCTCTCTCTGTCTGTCCAGCAAGTACATGCGCCCTATACCAAAAACAAACAAACCAACAAACAAAAAACAAAAACAAAAGCAAAAATAAACAACTTAAAAAAATTTTTAAAAAAAGTACTTCTGAAGATTATTGATTATGGCTGATCTTAAAATCATTGAGTTGAGAAATCAGCAGATGGCATGGCAATGGTTATGTTGCTGGACTCCGATGTGGTCAACCATGGTTCAAGTCCTAAACCTGGCAGCTTAAAATTCTCGCCAGGTACATGTGGGTGTGCTTGCCCAAAATCTGAAGTGGAGAATGGAAGAGAAGGGATTGTGGTGTGGTCATCCCCCCTGAAGGGGGTGATTTCTCACTTTCTGTCTCTCTGTCCCTCTCCATCTCTCCAGTGAGCACATGCACCCTATAGCAAAATCTCTAAATAATAATAATAATAATAATAATAATAATAATAATAATAATTCAATCAAAATACATAGCTCCCTTTCTCCCAAAACATCAAAGAGCATCTTAAAAAAGTAAATGAAACTATTTGCTTTAGTAATCTACTGAGGTTAACTCAAATATATGATTATCTGCATGCAGTAGTCCTTTTTCTTTTCTTTCTTTCTTTTTTATTTTTTTTTTTGAGAGATTTTTGCTATAGGGCATGTGTGCTTGCCAGAGAGGAGAGAGGTATGTCGACAGCTCTAGCCTTTGTGATCCTCTGCTCCAATGCCTCCCAGTCAGCGAGGACCACAGGCATGCATCTCCACGCAGGGTCTACTCAGTTGATCTGGGATTCAAACCCAGGTCTCCCATGTGGCCCCAGCCTCATAAAACAGCACCCTACCACCTGCACCACCACAGCTGGGTCCATGTTTTCATCCTTGATGTCTTTTGCAGGCATGATGGGACCTCCTGGGCCACAAGGGTTTCCTGGTCATCCAGGACTTCCTGGAGCAGCTGGTATTCCTGGGAGACCTGATTTTGCTCCGGGAAAACCAGGGCAGCCAGGACCACCTGGCCTGCCTGGAGCACCAGGGATGCAGGGACTACCAGGATCAGATGGTAAAGTGTTGACATTTATGCTGCATTCATTGTTTGTGGTGTCATTCAGAAAGCATAAGTAAATAGTTATAGAGTCATATAATGTTTCATGTGCCATTAAACCTCTTTCACAAATCAGTAAACTGGGGTTGGTGTAGCTTATCGATTAAAGAATGGGCAATGTTTGGTTGGGACTTCAAATGCAAATTATAGTATTTTATAAATTAATACAATTATTTTTAAATGTAGGTTTATTTTTTAGTAGAGTTATATATGCACCTGGGTTAAGAGTCAAACTATTCTACAATGTAGCTGGATCCTTTCTTGGTTCTCTATTACCATTCAGCATATTCGTACGGCTATTTCTTAATGCTTCAGTTTGAACATGATCTTTTGACTTTCCCCCACAGAGGATGGATTCAGCTGGTTTTCACCACCCCACCATGCATGGCATGATTTCTACCCCATGACCTATTGGTGTGTTATTCCCGTAATTTTGGTTAAACAAACCTTCGGCATTTACAGTGAATGGTTATGGAAGTGCTGTTCACCAGTTGAGACAGCTAATAAATATTATTATTTTTGCAGCACAATATTTTTATAAATAATTATCTTGCTTTCTTTTTGTGCTTGCTTGCTTTTGAACATATTTATTGTTAATTTAATCTCAAGCTACCCAGATTCTGTAAAATTTGTCATTATACATTTTTACACATTAGTCAATTAGTATTATCTCTTTGAATAAATATCTCTCTGAGTCTTATGACCTGTTCAAGGGGCCAGCCAGGTAGCATGGTGGTTAAGGCTGCTGGATTCTACATGGCTAAGTGCACAGTTTGAGTCCCAGATCTGGTGACTTGGAAAACAAGCCAGATGTGTGTGTGTGTATGGGCCCAAATTCCCAAAAGGAGAATGAAGAAGGGATTTTGGCATAACCATCTCCCCTGGGGGATGATGTCTCACCTTCTCTCTCTCTCTCTCTCTCTCTCGCGCGCGCGCGCCTATGCCCTTTAACAACAAAAAAAAATTAATTAGGTCAAGTTGCACATTTATTTATTTATTTATTTATTTATTTATTTATTTATCTACCTACAGAGTATGTGCACTTTCTGGAAAGAGACAGGGAGAGAAAGAAAGAGCATTTTCAGTGTCTTAAATTTCACAGCCATTTCCCTCGTGTTGGTACATTTGCATTTTCTTGTAGACACTCACTGCACAGTTTCAATCTAACCGTGTATCCTTCATTTCTGAAAATTTTTTGAAGTATCTATTGGAAGACAGTCTCTCCTCTTTTATTATTCTCCTCTTCTTTACTTTTCTGTAATACTTTCGAGAAGACGTCCTCAATTCTATCTCCACCTTTCCTTCTGAATTTAAACATGTTTAAATGTCTGCTATCATATGATTTCCAGGGACTTTGTTGTGCCATTGTTCCCTTTACTGTTCTCGCTTGAGCAGCCTGTTTGTGTTTCGCAGGTGGAATACCCTCCCTTGTTTGCTATTTTGATTGTACAGTTTATTTGAAACTTTTCTTCTTGCTGCCTTGTCTGTTCATCCTTTTTTCTCCCTCTATGGTTTTTGTCCTCTTGAAATAGTTGGAAAAGGGGTTTTCTGTTGTAACTGTTTCTTTAACAAATCATCCTATCTGAGGACACGCTGTCATCCCACTTGTAAAGGTACCGATTCCTGAGCTCTCAGGGAGATTTCTGAGGTAAATTAGATTCTTTTTCAGTTCTCACAAGCTACAGAATCAGCTTTTTTAGGGTCTGCTAAGTCCTGTGACATTATTTTGCTGTTTATTCTCCTCCACCCTTTTTTCTTTGTCCTATAGGCTTCTGCCTCTTTTTTTTTTGGTCATATTCTTGTGCTGTTTTTTATTTTCCTGGGATTTTGGAAGAACACAGACCTTACTGTGAGCATTTGTCTGTTCTCTTTAACCGGGTGACTTGACATTGCAAGCCCTGCCTTATGCTTCCTTCATTAGATAATGATTGATCATTGAAAGTGAAAACAAACAAAAAAACACAACAACTCTGCCATACAGTGACCCTGGTTTTTGTTCATTTTTGTTTGGCTTGTCCACTTTGTTTAGGTTTGTGATTTGTTTTGTTGTTCACTACTTCGTTTGGCCACTCACTAATTTAGGATGGGATGAGGGGCCCTGTTTGTCGATGGTTACAGTGGGAGTGGTGCGCCACAACTGCACGGGCTCTAAGTGTGTATGTTCTTATATGAGGGAGAAGGAGTCTCGAGGAAAACGAGAACACGGAATGGGGGCTGAGAGGGGAAATGGGGGGGATGTGAGTGCAAGAGACGTGTTCTGCAGAAGACATTCCCAAGAACTCTGTGACTCTCCCCGCCCACCCTTGTCCCACCTTACAGTGATGTACTGCAATATCGGGCACCCTGGCCCACAAGGAATAAAAGGCAAAGTGGGTCCTCCCGGAGGCAGAGGCTCAAAGGGAGCAAAAGGTAAGTGTGCCACAGAGGCAGACGTTCCAAGGACGGCCACGTGTGGAGGTGGGGGCCCTTGTGGATGGGCAGTGTGGCATTTCTCTCAGATTCCTACTCACCCTGGCTACTCCCCACAAGTACTCCATTTTGGGCTATGATGTGATGAAAAGTCGCTGGAAAGTCCTGCCCTGTGTCTTCAAGTATCAGGCGCCACTTACCCTCTATGTGATTTGCCTCGAAATGCTGACTTTACAAAAGTGCCAATCAGGAAAACAAGTCCTAGGATTATAAAGCGCAGGACAGTAACTGTCATTTATGACAATTTACTGCAGGAGGGAACTTCAAAAAGCTTGTGGAAAAATGGAATTAGCGTATGAGTTTATTTTGGTAAAAAAACTTTTGAAATCCATGCTCACTATTTTTCATAATGCTCCTTCCTTTTTATGAACTTTTTGACAATCTCTTGTACGTCTCAAGAGGGGCTGAAAAAGAGGATTTTGAGTGTTCCCAATGCAAGGTACTGGCAAATGTCCGAAATGATGGATGTGCACCCTCCTGACTTAATCACCGCACATCGTATTCTTAGATTGAAAACTCACACTGTACCCCACAATACATGCAGTTACTAGGAGTCAACAAAGGTAAAACTTAAAACCACAGCGACTTTGCTCATGGGGTCCTCTCAGTTCCTTGAGTGAAAAAAGAGAGGACAGTATTAATATTTTATTGTGGCTTCTTCTTGTGGGTCCCCTGCTTCCCAGACTCGTCAAATGTCTCAGGCTCTGTGTTCCTCCACTCCAATCGTTTGGTGCCTTTTCGATCAACTGAGTCAGATGGCATGAGAGCATAAACACAGCTGGGGAGTTCTACTCTCCTGATGGCTGTGCAAAAAATCTATTAATAAGTCCTAATGATTAGAGATTGTGTTAAGGTGAGTTGTCAGTTACAATACGCAAATCTGCAATCCTTGGTAGAACTGAAGGATTCCATGGCATACAGAGAGAAATGGCGGATACAGAGGCTACGTGAGGTGGGGGTGTGGGGTAGGCTTGGGAGAAAATGATTAACAGGCACGAGAACGCATGTAAGCAATTGGAGGAGTTATGGAATCATGTACCACAGCAGAGCAAAAAGTGTTGTTGACAATCCATCAACAATACACACACACACACACACATATACATATAAAATTGTTATCATATGTGCATAACAACATGTAATGCTCATCCTTAAGAAAGATGAATACACTTACATCCTTGAGTTGGTTAGTACACACTGTATGAATGCTTTGAAAAACCATCTAGACCCACAAAGATGTCCAATGATTACATATAAACAAGAAATCACAATGAAAATAATATCCAATGCAATCAATCATTCTTCTTCAAATATGTTTTTCCTTAGTTGTTCAGAATTTCTGCTCTAACCAAGTACATTTTTTTTATTTCTTTAATAGGAACCAAATAAGAGGCTTTTGAACTTTAACAATTGAGACGTTTTCTCATTTTTAAAATTTCTTCAATACAATTAGACTTCGATTTTCTTCCTATAATTTATCTGAATGGGTTTTAAGATGTAAAACATTGTATCTGAATAAGAACAATACCCACCCCACATAGACCGTGCCCAAGCCACTCACATATTATCAATTGCCTGAGATAATTGTCACGCACTGCACACTCCTTTTGTTCGTCATTTGTGCTATTGGTTTTGTAAAGCCCTTATTGGGGAATTCATCCAGGAAATAGGACAAAGCTGACTTCTGTCTTCTGTCTAGGAAAGGAAGGCACCTGTGCCTGCATGCCTGGCCCCATGGGCCCCCCTGGCCCTCCAGGGCTTCCTGGGAGGCAAGGGAGTAAAGGAGACTCAGGACTCCCTGGCTGGTTTGGAGAGAAGGGTGACCCAGGCCCTCCTGGTGCTGAAGGAACTCCAGGGCCCCCGGTGAGTAACTCTTACCAGTTATAATCTTCCCAGTTACAAGAGACAGATAGAGATACAATTCAGTCTGCCTCTTTTAATTCATAGTGTGATGTGTATTTTATGTTTTGAACCTATAAACATCTTAATGACAAAAACAAACCCTGCATGCATTCATTTATTCATCCATCATTAATTTACTCAGCTACTATTTATTGAATGCCTATTATGTTCCAAGCACTGCTCCAGGTGCTGGGGACCAGAGCAGCAGGGACCAGAGCTCAGCCTCTGTCCTCCTGAAGCTTCTCGTAGACCATATACGAGATACACAAGGAAGTGTACAGTTTGGCAAATAAAGAAAGTATGGTGATCGGGACCAGCAGTTAGCATAATGGCTATGTCGCTGGACTCCCACGTAGTCGACCGTGGTTTGTGTCCCGGACCCGGTGGCTTAAAACTCATGCTGGGCGCGTGTGCGTGCGTGCCCAAGATCCCGAGAGGAGCATGGAGAAGGGATTGCGGCGTGACCATCCCCCCTGGGGGGTGACTTCTCACTTTCTGTCTCTCTGTCTGTCTGGGGAGCGCATGCTCCCTATAGCAAAAACCTCTCCAAAACAAAAACAAAAAAGAAAAGAAAGTACGGTGATAAAGACCACCATCACCACCTAGTGTGGCCTGAGTGGAAAAAGTGCTAGAGCGTGAGGACGTGACATTAAAGAAATGGCTGGACGCTAGGAGGGGTTGCATAGCAGGGGCTTTGCAGGTGGGTCAGATTGGAGCTTTTGTCCTGAAACTGCCTGAGGAGAGCAGCCTGCAGAGACGAGGGGAGAAATGGGGAGGCTGGCAGGCTGCAGAGGAGTAATGTGGTGCTGCTGGCTGTGGTGAGAGGAGTCGGATTCTGGGTGTGTTCGAAGATTGAGCCATCAGAGTGGCCGGTGGCAGTGGCTGAGTAGGAAGCGGTATTGTTTAGGACACTTCAAGTTCAAGGTGCCTAGTAGGCGAGCAGGTGTCCAGTAGGCAGTGCATGCTATTCAATTTAGAGATTCGTGAAATGGTCAGGCTAGAGATGGCAATATTGGCTTTGCCAGAGTTAGTCTAATATTTAGGGCCAGAGAGTGATGAGATCTATCTCAAAACAGTTTCCATTCACTACAGATGACTCAGGTTGAAGCCCAGCCTCTCAGCTGGCCCCTGGGGCACCCCTCTGCAGGCTGAGACAGCCCTCTGTTCTCTCCTTATTAAAGAGGCTTAATCCTGGGGTGACCTGGGGCCTAACTACCTAGCTCCAAAGTACACTTTTCCACTACTCCCCAAAAATCTCATAAATAAGATTCTGAACTGTGAGCCCCAAGTGAAGATGGTGATTAAGAGCTCTCATCCTACCCCTCTGTCACAAAGTTCATGCCTACTCAGGAAGAAGTAGGGTCCTTCAGGTATACATGCTGAACACACGTGGCTACAACACACCTTTTACCTTAGACATGATCTGTGTGTGTTGCTACTTAATTTTCTTAAGGAAGATTTTAATGACTTTAAGTTTTGTGTGGCTTCCTGTTGAGTTGCTTCTCAGGTCTACCATCTTTGATTATGGATTATTGGCTCATATCCAGGGCTATTATGCGTATGGGTTATTGGCTTACTTCAGGGCTATTATGAATAAGAGTTCCTTAACTCATCTGTTGTAGGGCTTACCGCCCATATTGCTGGGGTCTTTGTTTTGTACATGACTCCATCCATTAACTTTTTTTCATTAAATTCATCACACTGTGGCCCCAGATAGAGACCAAGGTTATACCATCGGACCCTATTGAAGGAAAGAGAAGAGAAGGGCAGGAAGGAGGGACAGACTGAGGAGAGATCATAAAGGAACCACTGACAATCACTATTGGTTGCTGTCTCTCCTGTTTACTGCTCCTCTCTCATCTGCTAGTCCTGGTTCTAGCACCCACATATTAGTAGAAAACAGAAGAGAAGGTTTAAGCTCTTTGCAATTCACACTGTGATTGAACCAAGTCTTGGCATTCATGGTCTTAGACCCAGAGCTCTCTCCAGCATGAAGTTTCCCACCAAGATGTTGGCATGCAGACACGAGGGCCTAGGCACAAGCAGACCCCACTGTAGATCCCATCTCTGACATCTGTGAGCTCTGTGTCTTTCTGAGCTTCAGCAGTGTCATTTATGACAAGGATATAATACCCATCTTAGCAGCTCATTGGTAAAAATTCAATCCAGTCATGTTCAAGAGCTAGACAATATGCATGAGTAAACAAGATGTCCTGAAGTCTGCAGAGCAAACCAGAGGTCACCAGCTGTCATGGACTGAATCTGACCTGCTGGAGTATTGGGTTGTGTTCTCATGGTGTTTGTTTTTGTATTATTAACATGAGATTTATGGCTTCCCTTGAGAAACAGCAAGTTCAGGAACACAAGGTTAATGTGTTCCCGTCCCTGTGGGTGTGTCTATCAAGGTAGCTGTGCATGTTGGGGGAAGCCTAGGCATTCCAGTCCCAACCAAGCCACCCACCTGCTTCCCCCAGACAGGCACAATCCCATGGGTATCTGGTTGAAGTCCCCAATCTAGACCGTGTATTATACAACTAGTACATGCTTGCAGAGGGGAATTTTTGTTGTTGCTTTGCTTTTGTTTTTATATTAACACAAGTGTTTAGTGATCTTAGGTCTTAGAATTGTGAAAAGTAGCTTTTGATCCCAAAGCTTCTGAGAACGTTGGACCCACTAATCTCTTAGAGTAAACATTTATTTTGTTAGAATCTAAGTGCCATGAAGGTGTTGTTAACTGCTGTGTCCTCAGTACTGTGAATAATCCTGGTACACTGTAGGTTTTCAGTAAATATTTATTTAATGCAACTCACAAACAGAAAACACTTATTTACTTGCTCAAGTAAGTGTATGATCTGAGTTTCGTAATCAAAATTCTTTATCTACAGAGCATTGGAGCGATTTGGAGTACATTTTGACTTTATGATGTATTCAGTCACAAACTGCTCAGATTCCCAGGGTGTGTTCATTCTTCTAAGATGCCAAGGTCTTATTTATTAAGCATATCCCTGTATTCCCATTCTGGACAGAAATTGTTTTAAATGCACTGTGAAGAGTTTTCTGTCCCAGTAGTTTGCCCATCAGAAAGACGGTCTTTATCTGTCTCTTGGGTGAAATACAGTGCGTCGTACCCTTTTGTCCTGTTTCGTTGTCACATTTGACTTAGCATACATACAGCAAAAGAATTAGAATGACACTTAATGCATATTAACATTTTATGATTTTGAAAGTTGGTTGTCTATCTAATTTATCTATTTCTAGTAAGAAATTTGTCCTATCTGCCTTTGATGGCTCACAGACACTGTTACAAAGAAGATGTTAAATGAGAGTGATGTTCTCAGGTATTAATCCGAGTGTGTGGGGGCATTTTTTTCTCTACACCAAATGGCTCCCATCCATTTTGTCCATTTGAGTTTTTTTGCCCATTGTGTGCACTTTTTACTACTCCACAGTTACTGCTTGATGCTGCAATTGTGCTGATCCCTCCAGACGCCTCTCCTCTTAATAGCTCACAGCTGATCAATTAGTAGAGGCTAGTGAAGAACCTCATTAAGCTTGTTTGAACACATTGTCAGATTGTATGAAAATGAGACAAAGTAGCAGCATCTGTGTGGGTCAAAGGGTCTTCTCTGTCATTTTTACCCTCCTTCCAGCTTCCTGGCTGTGTTTTTGATGATCAAGGTCACGAGATAAGTAACCTTAAGCAATGAGATAGTGTTTGTATAATTTGCTGCTTGGCCACTTTAATAAGCCAATAGCTTCCTATATTTTTGGCATAGTTTGTTATTCAATAATATGCAACATTTAGAAAGCATGACTCAGAGAGCCTAGTCTCAGAGAAATATTGAGGTCAAAAGAGGATGAGCCTGTTACCCAAATGAGTTGTGTACTTGCTATACAAAGCAAATACATTGACTCCAGCAAAAGTCATTTCCCTTCTCTTGCTCATCAATTTACCTTAACATCATATTATTTCCACACCTCTTTTATCACAATCTTATCCCTGAACCTCTACACTCAGCTCCTTTGACAGCTCTTATGGTTAACCTATTCTCCTCTTTCTTTCCCATGTGACATTACAAAGCTCAAAACATTTTTTTAATTCATTATAAATTTTTATTTGAGGTAGCTGAAGATTCACAAGAGGTTGCACAATCATATGGAGAATTCCCATGTACGCTTTCTCCAGCTTCCCCCAGAGACATCCTCATAATCTAGGACATTACTACACCAAGAAAATGACATTGACACATTTTTGTTAACTCAGGCATAGACCTTATTCAGAGTTCATCAGCTTTTGAAGCAGTTCAAGAACCTCAATTTTGCAAGATAGGATTAACTTGGATGGCAGAGAAGGGGATGAAAGTAAGAGTGCCACACCAGAATCTTTAACCAAAAATTTGGGAGGAAAGAAGAGAGATATTAGATTATACATGAATGTTAATGGCTTTTGACCTTGCACAATTAATCTCATTTGTTTCTCTATTTTCGCCAAGGGAAAACCTGGTGTCTCAGGACCACCTGGCAACAAAGGAGCAAAGGGTGACATGGTTGTACCCAGAGTTAAAGGTGAGCATAATCAATCACTTAGTTACCTGCCATGTTATGAATGATATATTGGTCATCCTCTTGCATTAATTTCCCCTGTGGCCAGAGATCAATTCTATATAATTTAAGTTGTTGAGATTGAAAAAAAAATCCTGTCTCTTATTTGAAAACACAAATGGTTCTTTAGCCACATTTTGAATCCTCAATCCTCAATGTAGAGGACTTAAGTTTGAAAGAAGGTTTCCTTGACTAGTCTAGTATTTCTTCATTGCATAATATTCTGTATTAGTCAAGAATATTATAGCTGTAAGTGACAGAAACCCAGCTTGAAGTAGTTGAGGAAGAAATAATACTATTGACTTATTTTAAAGAATGAAAACTTAGATGCGAGGTTTGCAAAGGGCACCAGGGGACTCTGACTGCAACTTCCATCTTCCATTGCACCATCTGCATTTTCTCCTGCCACACTGGTCTTCTCTTGGCTGTGGAGGAAGTATAATCCTTGGGCAATACCAAATTCCTATAGTCAGAGATGGAGAGAGCTCTACTTTGACAGCCTCAGAGAGAAAAATAATTTCAGAAAGGACCGACTAGCTTAGGCAAGTGCCCTGCTGTGGACATTACCCTGTTCACTACAGTCAGGAGATGCTGTTCCATATTTGCTATCTCACAGGCTGGGGAAGAGTCTGAGTGGTGGTTCCACCTACCACTTTCATGTGGGAATGGAGAAAGAAGTGTTTCCCAAGTAAAGAGAGTCAATGCAGTTCACAACTGTCATCTTCCACTCTGACTTCAGTATGGTTTTTGTGTCTCTGGGCAACTATGACACTCATGGGAAACTCTACCAACCCACGTGGACTCAAGGCGACTGTATTTTTAGTCTGTTTTCTTCTACTTTGCTTCCTGTTGGTAAGAGCTTGAATATCTTTTGGTCTCTATTCCCAGGGCACAAAGGAGAAAGAGGTCTTGATGGGCCCCCTGGATTCCCAGGGCAGCAGGGATCACTTGGCCGGGATGGACGTGATGGAGAAAGAGGGGATCCAGGACCTCCCGTATGTATCATTCTTCTTCTGCTATAGAATTTAATTTTATTACATGGCTACACAGCATCCATTTTTCCCATCTCAACTTTACCAAGCTGCAATTCATGCCATAAATCAAGGGTCACCTTCAGTTCACTGCCACCTAGAGATGACTATTATATAAGTATGGTGTGATTGGACATGACCAACCTCTGTGGTAGTTCACTCATAGCAAGACTTTCTGTCCTTAGTCTTTGATCGTTCTCATGGTGTTTATTTTCTTCCAAGACCCCTGTACTTGACGAAGCCTCCACTGATTTTAGGTCTGTTCAATTAACTCTGTAGGGTTGGAAGATGGAGCACAGGTTCTCGTAATTAGCTTTAGCTCTATTTCCTGGGAAAGAAGCCCTTGAGGAGAAGTAACAAGTAAGAAAAGATGAACTTGTACAATTCTACTGAATGGATACACTGGCTGATAGAAAATACCATGAATAAATGACATTTCTGTATTTGTTGAACATGTGTTGAGCAGACACCATGTGTAGGTGATAAAGATCAAAAGTAAAGAATATGAGACATGACCCAATGCTTAGAAATTTGAAATATTTGAGTACTCATATGTGTGGTATGTTGAGCGCTATGTCACAGTAACAGAGCTAGATATTTTACTCAGAATTGTCTTTGCAATTTTACAACAAGAAAGTGGAGCCGTGGAGTCTATTACTCAAGGTTACCCACCTATCAAGTAGGCTAACCAAGAGTGAAAAGTCTAGTCAATCTTGTTCAAAGCATGTTCCATTCCCATGTGACTGTGCTGCCTGCTGTGTTAATGGCCATCCACGGAGAGTGTTGCAGTAGGGAAGGGCCACACTGATTTTGCAGGAACCTGTCCAGAGATAATGCATGTGAATAGAAGGAGAAGCTTAGAAAGTGGTGCAGATGGGGGTTTATAGCTTTTTGGCTTTTCAGCAAGTCAAGTGTGAATGATACCTTTTTTAGGTTTAGTAATCTTTGCTCAATTCATTCTTACACTTACGAAACTACTTAGAGGGTCAGCAGATGGCATGGTGATTAAGGAACGTGATTCCCACATGGCCCACTGCAATTCAAGTCCTAGGCCTGGTGGCTAGAAAATCATCCTGGATGTGTGTGCACATGTGCCCAAAATCCCGAGAGGAGAATTGAAGCAAAAGGTTGCAGTGTGGCCGTTGCTCCGGAGGGTGATTTCTCACTTTGCCTCTCTCCATCTCTCTCCATCTCTCTCCAGTGAGCATACACACCCTAAGGCAAAAAAAAAAAAAAGAAAAACTGTGTGGAAACCGATGCCAGTGAATGGCAATTGTCATAATGTACTCATCTGATCATGAAAACAACAAACTATCCTTTAAGATCAGAATGGAAGAGGAATTTCTACAGTCCTCAGTGGGGGTCTTCCTAGATTCATTGAAGCAATGCAGACCCGCAGGGCGTTGTAGATCACATTTGGGACATACTACTCAGAATAGACAGGACTTTCAATTTGCCAGCAGGGCTATGTTAGGTATTCCTTGCATTCCAGGGTCCTTGCAGCTGTTCATTCAAAAATTGGGTGTGAGAACATGCAATCCATATATTGCAGATGTGGGAGCAACCTGGCCCTGAAAGCCTCATTCCCCACAAGAGCTGTTATCACCACAGCATAGCCTTTTGGGACCACCAAGAGATTTGCCTGTTGCAGGAGGCACCACTAAGTCCCAACAAGAGGTCCCCATGGGTCTTTGTGTTCTTTCCAGAGCAGATGCAAATTTTGAAACCAATGATCAGTTTTACCAGCAGTGTTGCCTAGGAATATAGTTGACAATCAAATTTTTATCATGTTTCTGGAAGAACAGAGCCAGACAGTTAGCCAAAAGTCAAATTCTCATGTAGGAGGGGAAAGGATTTGGTAGCTCTTTACCCACAGATGCGGACAATGGTGGAAACTATCTGTGTTCCTTCTCTTAAGAATTATTTGTCGATAACACGTATGTTGATATGCTTGATTGAGCCAATGTGCAGTGTATTTTGGATGGAAAATTCATTTTGTATGCTGTAATGATATATAGTGAATTAATGTAAAAAATAAATTTAAAGAAAAGGAAAAAAATAAATAAAAATAAAAAAAATAATTCAGGCAAATAGTTTTTAATACACAAGGACCTATTCCATTTGTTAGCCCATAATTTTCTTTTATATACTTATTTCTGTATTATATAATATTTGATATTACAGAATAGTTCTACATAAAATTTCTCTCTTTTTTTTTTTTGAGATTTTTGCTATAGGGCATTGCACTCACCAGAGAGAGAGATGAAAAGCAAAAATCATACCCCAGGGGGATGGCTATGCTACAATCCCTTCTCCTCCATTTTCTTGGAATTTTGGACACACATGCACATGTGCCTGGCATGAGTTTCAAGCCACCAGGTCTAAGATTTGAACCGCAATCAATCACATGAGAGTCCAGCGCTTTAACCATTATACCACCTCCTGGTCCCTATGTAACATTTCTTAATCTATATTTAAGACATAATATATACACCTATACAAATGTAAAATACTAAGAATTTAAGGTAATTATTTTAAATCACATTTGCTAAAGAGTGTCTCCTAGAATTATGGGCTTTCTGGGTGTGTTCCTATAGCCTACAATGACTGCATTGAGTTCATGGATTTTCAAATATTGGTCATTGACATATGACATAAACATTTCCAGGGCGATCATAAAGATGCAGCCCCAGGTGATACAGGGTATCCTGGACTATCAGGCCGCCCAGGCAGGCCAGGACCTGCAGGTCCTCCAGGATTGGGATTTCCTGGTCCACCAGGAGGGAGAGGTCAGCCAGGAGTTCCAGGCCACCCAGGAGTGAGGGGCCCTGAAGGACTGAAGGGCCAGAAAGGTAATTTTGACTTTGTTTTTAAACTCTAACCCTAACCTGGTAACTGTGAATATTTATAGGGCAGAATATTAAGTGAAATTATGGAAGCTAAACTGAGTCTCTTCCAGACAGTTTTATAGCTATGGCATAACAGCTTCAGCAAAGTGCTGTTCAAACTTGCACATTGTCAAACAAATGAGAGTATTACAACACGATCAATATTTAGAACGAAATGTTTTTTAAAGACAACTAGATATTTTTTCTTATTATTTTTATTTAACTTTATTTATTATTATCATAATTATTTTCCCATTTGACCAGAGGGAGACAGAGAGAGAGAGAGGAAGTGAGAAAACAAGCCACCAGGTCCGAGACTTGAACCGTGGTTGGCCATGTGGGAGTCCAGCGCCTTTAACCACCATGCCACTTGCCGGCCCCTAGAACAAAATTTTTAAATGCCAAGTTCTCTTTGTTGCTTTGTTTGGCTTGACAAGTAGCTCCTCATTCATTTTCTTCGGTATCAACCATGTAACCTGACTATTAAAATTATCTCTACTCAAAGTATTTTTTTAAATAATCTTTTGAAATAATGCAATGTATTTCAGTAAAAAAAAAAAATCCCCACTGCTCCATTCAAAAAAAAAAAAATCACCGTCCATGAAGAACCATTTGTAAGCATCATAAGAAGAAGAAATCAAAAGTCTTTTAAATATACCTGACAGTTATTTCAAATAATAAAGTGATTTTTAGGAAGATAGCTGAAAACTTTTAAGCAAATGGCATAAAAGGTTTAGTTCATTTTTTTCTTTTGTAATATGTTATCTATTTGAGCCACATTGTGAATTGTGAAATTCTAAAATGAAACGATATCTTTGGTTTTTGTTTTGACAACATAGAAAGATAAAAACCTGGGTATTTGTGAGGTTTTCAGGTTCATGTTCTGGGACCCAGTAAAACCCAACGTTATTTTTATGCATTTCATACATATGATTTGAGAACATATGAAATAAACATTATGTGGTGTTATTTCTATTATAAAGGGGAAGCATTCCATTTTAGAAGAAGATCTAGAATCAGAGAAACAAGCTTTGGAGTCTTATTTTCCTCACCAATCAAAATGGGGGATGACAGTAACTGTGTATCTGAATCTTCAAAAAAATAAAACAAGAGATAATGTATTTAAAGCACCTGACCCATGGCAGGCCTTCAGTAAGTGGGAGTGTTCTTAACATCTAGCTCAGACTCTTCATTTGAACAACCCCCCCTCCCCCTTCTAAACAGGAAGCCAAAGCTGAACCGATCACTGAAGGTTGGTTGTTATTGATGATTTCTTACAACTTCTGACTCCATTATGTTAGATATTCATGCAGTGGGTATCCAAGGGGCTATCAACACATAATTGTTTTCTTGGTTATTGAAAGTGATATGTTTGGAATTAACATTTTTCTTATCTCTATTCTATTTATAATGAAATTCAGATTTCTGTGCAGATCTAGAAATTCAGTATAGAAGATATTTAAGTTTTCTAATGATTCTTGGGAGTTTTCCTTTGAACTCTATGTATGCTATATGGAAATATATCTTGAGTAAAGTGTCAGCTGCCTCACATTGCACTGGGCTATTGGAGATGTGAATACTGCTTTTGTTCTTCATTGCAGGTGACATCATTCTTTGTAACGTGACCTACCCTGGCAGGCCAGGCCCTCCGGGTTTTGATGGGCCTCCAGGTACTATCAATGAGACATTACTGGCTTACAGACTTCCCAGAGTAAAATGGCTGGCAAGACAAATACAACGGCAGCAAATCTTCAGTTAGGATATTTCAAAAATTATATTTAAGGTGTTGACAGTCTATGGGCCTAGGGGAGAAGAGCATCTGTAGTGCTTCACAGTTGAATCTTTCATCTGTTGTTCTGAGCGCACTCTGATAGGCTTTCTAAATCTTGGTATCACTTAAGACTTCTGCCCCTAGAGTGTTTTGAGACCTTATCTTCTTCCTTTTCCCGTGTTCCTAGAGTGAGTGTGAGCAATAAAATGTGAGGGGAAAAAGGAGTGGAAGACAACTGTAGACACCAGAGATAGTGTGGGAAGAGGGTGAGAAAGGGCAGAGGGTCAGAGATAGGGGTTAAAAAAAATATATACATATATATATATACACACACACACATATATATATGTAACTAGAAATGGAAAATTATTGACGATAACATACATGATTAAACCACTATGCAGTATATTTTGGATGGGAAATCACATGTTGTATGTTGTGACAAAGCTTAGGGAATAAATGTAAATTAATTTTAGAAAAGCTTCAGAAATAAATAAATAAATAAAATTTTTTAAAAGAATCAAAAGAGAAAATGTTTTTAAAGAAAGATAAAAACCTGGGTATTTGTGAGGTTTTCAGGTTCATGTTCTGGGACCCAGTAAAACCCAACGTTATTTTTATGCATTTCATACATATGATTTGAGAACATATGAAATAAACATTATGTGGTGTTATTTCTATTATAAAGGGGAAGCATTCCATTTTAGAAGAAGATCTAGAATCAGAGAAACAAGCTTTGGAGTCTTATTTTCCTCACCAATCAAAATGGGGGATGACAGTAACTGTGTATCTGAATCTTCAAAAAAATAAAACAAGAGATAATGTATTTAAAGCACCTGACCCATGGCAGGCCTTCAGTAAGTGGGAGTGTTCTTAACATCTAGCTCAGACTCTTCATTTGAACAACCCCCCCTCCCCCTTCTAAACAGGAAGCCAAAGCTGAACCGATCACTGAAGGTTGGTTGTTATTGATGATTTCTTACAACTTCTGACTCCATTATGTTAGATATTCATGCAGTGGGTATCCAAGGGGCTATCAACACATAATTGTTTTCTTGGTTATTGAAAGTGATATGTTTGGAATTAACATTTTTCTTATCTCTATTCTATTTATAATGAAATTCAGATTTCTGTGCAGATCTAGAAATTCAGTATAGAAGATATTTAAGTTTTCTAATGATTCTTGGGAGTTTTCCTTTGAACTCTATGTATGCTATATGGAAATATATCTTGAGTAAAGTGTCAGCTGCCTCACATTGCACTGGGCTATTGGAGATGTGAATACTGCTTTTGTTCTTCATTGCAGGTGACATCATTCTTTGTAACGTGACCTACCCTGGCAGGCCAGGCCCTCCGGGTTTTGATGGGCCTCCAGGTACTATCAATGAGACATTACTGGCTTACAGACTTCCCAGAGTAAAATGGCTGGCAAGACAAATACAACGGCAGCAAATCTTCAGTTAGGATATTTCAAAAATTATATTTAAGGTGTTGACAGTCTATGGGCCTAGGGGAGAAGAGCATCTGTAGTGCTTCACAGTTGAATCTTTCATCTGTTGTTCTGAGCGCACTCTGATAGGCTTTCTAAATCTTGGTATCACTTAAGACTTCTGCCCCTAGAGTGTTTTGAGACCTTATCTTCTTCCTTTTCCCGTGTTCCTAGAGTGAGTGTGAGCAATAAAATGTGAGGGGAAAAAGGAGTGGAAGACAACTGTAGACACCAGAGATAGTGTGGGAAGAGGGTGAGAAAGGGCAGAGGGTCAGAGATAGGGGTTAAAAAAAATATATACATATATATATATACACACACACACATATATATATGTAACTAGAAATGGAAAATTATTGACGATAACATACATGATTAAACCACTATGCAGTATATTTTGGATGGGAAATCACATGTTGTATGTTGTGACAAAGCTTAGTGAATAAATGTAAATTAATTTTAGAAAAGCTTCAGAAATAAATAAATAAATAAAATTTTTTAAAAGAATAAAAAGAGAAAATGTTTTTAAAGAAAGATCATTTGACTACTGATTAGAATTTTACTTTATTTTTCTTTCTAAGAGAATGAACTTCTGATCAGATACATTTTGAAAAATGCCCATATACCTATGTCCCTCACTGCACATTCATACAACAGCTCCATTTGAGTAAATCACTTGTTTTTAGATGAATGAAAACCAAAGTCTACATAAGGGATTTTGCTTAATTCTTTCTTATTACTTCAGAGCTCACTTAAATTGACCCAATAAGTATTGGCATGGCTGTTAGAGGTCACCTCACTGGTCCCACATAGCTACGCAAAATATTTAGAGATTTAAATAACGGCTGATTCTTTATTGCCCTCTGTAAGCACTTGCTTTCATCACAGTAATACAGCGTAAACAACCCTAAAATCTCAGTGGGCTACCACAACAAATATCTTTCTATGGGTATGCAGGCTGGTTGGGGTCCAGCTGCTCTAACATGGTCTCTGTCAGTTTGGTCCTGAGCTCCAGGTTGGGTTCGGGTCTGTAACATGCGTCTCACTGCAGGGCCAAGGTGTGCTCTTTCCTTGTGATTGCAGACATGCAAGAGGCAGGCCTTGCCTCACAGGCTCACCTCACATCTCTGATTGCATCATGGTCATTAATATCCCATTGGCCAAAGCAAGTCACATGACCAAGCCCCAGGTCAAAGAGCAAAGAAGTAAACTCCACCTACCACGTGGCAATGGCAAAAGTGTGGACACTTAATTCTAGATCAACAGAGTAAGAATTGCTGGTTGGCTTGAATATTCACTTTTACTGTACCGTCATGGATAGATTAAAAAACGTTTGTTACTTTCAGCAGCTTTCACCTTTAGGGAAGTGAACACTCAAATTAAGTTGATATAGTTGTACCTTCTCTGTATGTTATCTTTGCTGAGATAGCTGCCAGGCTGGAAATCGTGGAAGGTCTTAAATAAACTCTCAATTCCTCTTGCAGGCACTCTTCTGCCTGTACCTATGAGCAGATGCACTGAGATGTATGGAAATTGATTTTGGCCTTGACTCTGGCACTTTTCCATTAGGTTAGACTTGGCTTCCACCCCTTTCCTCCCATAAAGTCAGACTGTACTTGCATATCTGTGTTTGAGAACTAGCAAGGGAGGTACAGAAAATAAGAATAAACAGAAAGGTGACCCAAGTTCCAAAGGCCTCCAGGAAGAGTCCTTTCCAGCAAAGGTTCTGAGAAAGTACCTTAACAAAATCACCTTCTATAAAACATTTTTGTTTGGAGCCCATGACTCTAAATGATTATGTAAATCATAAGAAGCAACATCTTTACTTTCATAAAATATAAATGTTCTAAGAAACAGAGCCTTAAAAAAGATCCCATTTTGTTCCCATTTGATTTGTATTTCATTGCATCTGTGTTTTATTATTTAGGTCCAAAGGGATTTCCAGGTCCCAGAGGTGCTCCTGGGCGGAGGTGTTTCGATGGACCCAAAGGCCGCCCTGGAAAACCAGGACAATCAGAAATCCCAGGTTTCCCTGGTAAATGAAGTGTTTTTCCTTCTTTAGGAATGTTTATCAGGAATTTAAAAACATTTCTAAAAATGGATGACTTTAGTAAGGAAATGACCTAGCGATCCCTACATAATGGGGAAGTGGTTTTTCTTCATGCATTAGACCCAGAGTTGTGTGTGATAACTTTTAGATTATAATAATTTTGTAAGTAGCCAGGGCTCTTTCCACCCTGAAGCATGAGTTATAGGCTATTATTAAGTCTGTGATTATGCTGAAGTGGCTCAGTCCAGACACTGTTTGCAAGAGAACAAAAACTATAGGGAAACATCACTGATTTGTAGAAAGTATAGAGTTACCATTTATCTTTCTACAAGAGGTGGCAAAAACATTAATATTAAGCTGCTCCAAATTTTATTGGGTCGTCTTTCTATGTTTTTCTATGCAAAGTGTAACTTTTCTGACAACCCAAAAGTATTTACTTCTATATATATATATTTTATTTAAAAATGTTTAATTATTTAATTTTATTTATTATTATTAATTTGACTAGAGACAGACAGACAGAGCAAGATAAAGAGAGAGAAAGGGGAAGTGAGAAAAAAAGCCACCAGGTCCAGGACTTGAACCTTGCAGTCAGCCCTGTGGGAATCCAACACCTTAACCACCACACCACCTACTGGCCCCCATTTGACTAGAGACAGACAGACAGAGCGAGATAAAGAGAGAGAAAGGGGAAGTGAGAAAAAAAGCCACCAGGTCCAGGACTTGAACCTTGCAGTCAGCCCTGTGGGAATCCAACACCTTAACCACCACACCACCTACTGGCCCCCATACTCCTGTATTTTTTAGAAATGTATTTTTATCAAAATAGTACTCATGTATATAGCACATGTAACAATTGATCATTTTTCTTTTTGTTAAACAGGTTTTCGTGGTCACACGGGAGATCCAGGTTTTGAAGGTGAAAAGGGGTCCTCACCTGTTGGGCCCCCAGGCTCTCCTGGGTCACCCGGAGTGCCTGGTCAGAAAGGAATGCCAGGAGACCCTGCATTTGGTCATCCAGGGCCCCCAGGAAAGAGGGGTCTTCCAGGAGTGCCAGGGATGAAGGGTCCCAGAGGTGACCCAGGATGCCCAGGGGCTGAAGGTATGAGGGCTCTGTTGTCCCTGTGATCTGTGAAGCTGGTTCAGTTTTGGAACAGGTCACTAAAAAATGTTTAGAATATCTTGCTTCAGATATTCAGGATATAAAATTTCCAACCAAGTCTATTTCCTCATAGATGGGCATTTCAATTACACAGAATGTCCAGTGGGGCTTTCACATTTTATTGGTTGTTTATGAACATAGGGATCTGACCATGCCTCTGTCAGTTCAGTTAGATTAAGCAGCTTTTCTGGGCTTCCTGCTTTGGGCTCAGGACAGTGTGCTAATGCCATAAAACTTAAGAGCCAGAACCACATAACCTGCCCATGGCCATTGCCAGGTTGAAGGTGAACAGGACCCACTGTAAGGAGAGAAGCTCAGAGAGCTGGGGTCCTGAGGAGAGCTGGACATGAGCTGAGCCCTGGCAGGTAAGGTGTCTCTGGGCAGGTGACAGGGCGGAAGACTTTCATTCTGGTGGGGGAAGCAGGCAGGGCAGCAATACTTCTGATGGAAAGATGGCCCAGGCACCGATTCAGATATGTTTCCGAAATCATGAAGGATTCAGGGTTGGCAATATAGTTTTGCAGATTTTTCCTTTTTTGAGAGATTTTTATTATAGTGTGTGTGTATTTGCCAGAGACACAGAGAGAGACAGACAGAAAGAAAGTGAGAAATCACCTCCTGCCCCAGGAGGGGATGGCCACATCATAGTCCCATCTCCATTCTCCTCTTGGGATTTTGGGCACACACACACATGCTCCTGGTGTGTTTCAAGCTGCCAGGTCCAGGATTCAAGCCATGGTCGACCATGTGGGAATCTAGCATCCCAACAATTACACTACCCGCTGAACCCAAGTTTTGCAGATTTTTTTTTTTTAGAGATTTTTGCTAAAGGGTGTGTGTTCTCACCAGAGAGAGAGAGAGAGAGAGAGTGAGAAGTCACCCACCACAGCAGATGGCCATGCTACAATGCCTTCTCCTCCAATCTCCCCTCAGGATTTTGGGCATATATGCACATGCACCCAGCATGAGTTTTAAGCCGTCAGGTCCTGGACACTGGCAGTCTACTACGTGGGTATGCAGTGGTGTAACCATTACGCTGTCCGATGGTCCCAAGATTTGTAGATTTTAATGTGCCTAAAAATAGCTCAGGGGGAAAAGGGTCATTAAAATTATGACCATCATGGCCCTAACCTCAAGAAATCTGACTCTTTACAGAGGTTTGCACTTCAGTGAGCACCTGGGTGATGGTAGTCAAATGTGGACCCCAGGCCAGATGTTTACAAACATTGTGCTGGCTACTTTCTTACAGAGGATGGGTTAGCAGTAACTAAGAATCCATGCAGGGCCAGTAGGTAACGTAGTGGTTAAGGTGCTGGACTCCCACGTGGCCAACCACAGTTGGGAGTCCAACCCAACAGCTTGAAACTCACACCGGTGCATGTGCATGCATGCCCAAAATCCCAAGAGGAGAATGGAGAAGAGATTGTGATGTGGCCATCCCTCCAGGAGATGATTTCTCACTTCCTGTCTCTGTCTCTTCAGCAAATGCACATGCCCTATAGCAAAAAACTCTCTCTTTTAAAAAATACACTACAGGGACCAGCAGTTAGTGTAATGGCTATGTCGCTAGACTCCCATGTAGTTGACCGTGGTTCGCGTCCCGGACCCGGTGGCTTGAACTCATGCCAGGCGCATGTGCGTTCATGCCCAAGATCCCGAGAGGAGAATGGAGAAGTGATTGCGGCGTGGCCATCCCCCCTGGGGGGGGGTGATTTCTTGCTTTCCGTCTCTCTGTCTCTCTCTGTCTTTCTGGCGAGCTCACGTGCCCTATAGCAAAAACCTCTAAAAAAAAAAACAAAAAAACACAACACTACAGTATACTAGTGCAGGGCAAACAGAGAGGAGGGGAAATAGGCTATCATTTTTGTCCTCTAGAAACTTACGCCATAGTTTGTAAATCAAAGTCACATGTAGAAACAATTAATTAAAAAGCAATAAGATAATATATGATGTAAGTCAATAAAAATAATGGGACCCAGTGATCCCATTATCTTACTTGGATAATGCATCTAAAGGAAGTGTTACAGGCTATAGATGCGAAAATACTCTGGTAGTACTATTCACAGTAAAGGAAAAACTGGATGCAGAACAGAGAGTTGAGTAACATACACATACTCAAAGGAATATCATTCCGCTATTAGCAAATTGGGTGACAGGTCATAATAGCTATCAGCTATTCGGTTATATTTGTAAATACTGCAACAAAGTGGAAAACATGTGGATTAATGTGAAATCTGAAATAATCCAACAACTGAATGTGCACTGCAATCACTGTTTTTTCAATGTAAACGTATGAACCAAAACACAAAGAAAACATGGAAAAAGTAATTTTTGAGTTAGGGTGTGAAATTGTGGGAGATTTTTTTTCTTTTTTTTCCCTGAAGATTCTGACACTTTCTTTTCAAGAAATAGAAAACCGGGACCAGCAGTTAGCATAATGGCTATGTTGCTGGACTCCCATGCAGTCAACTGCGGTTCGTGTCCCGGACCCGGTGGCTTAAAACTCACTCTGGGCACGTGTGCGTGCGTGCCCAAGATCCCAAGAGGAGAATGGAGGAGAAGGGATTGCGGCGGGACCATCCCCCCTGGAGGTTGATTTCTCGATTTCTGTCTCTCTGTCTCTCTCTCTCTCTCTGTCTGTCTGGTGAGCGCATGTGCCCTATAGCAAAAACCTCTCCAAAAAAAAAAGAAAGAAATAGAAAAACAAGAAGTCTTACAAAATGCAAGTTCATGGAGTACAGACTGGGTTTGTTAAGTATTATAGAAATTTAACATCAAGCCTACCGCAAAACTAGAATAATTAAAACCAGGGAGAACCAAGTGGTTTTCTATTTATGTAGGCAACTTCTTTGTGGTTCGCATAGCATTATTAAGTAGCTCACAAAGCAATGTGGTTTGTTTTTGTTTGTCTTTGTTTTGTTTTTTGGTTTGCTCCAGGGTTCATGTGCTCACTGGAGAGAGGCAGAGAAGAGAGAGAGAGAAAGTGAGAAGTCATCCCCAGGGGGGTGGCCACACTGTAATTCCTTCTCCTCTGTTCTTGTTTAAGGATTTGGGGCATGCACTCACATATGCCTGGTGTAATTTTCAAGCTACCGATCCAGGACTTGAACTGCCAGTTGGCCATGTGGAATCCAGCCAATTTAAACTCCATTTCATATGCTGACCTAGCAATGTGGTGTTTCCATTCATTTGGAGTTTATTATACCTATCATAAGAAAATCCATTCAGAGACTTAACCCTTGAAAGCCCAGAGTCAGGATCAAAATGTTTATTCCCAATGTTGATGTGCACAATTTATTGTAGATTATTTTAGTACTTTTGTGCCATAATGTCATGGATGCTGTGTGTTGTTTCAGGGACAACTGGCGTTCCTGGATTCCCAGGTCTCAAAGGTCCCAAAGGCAGAGAGGGAAATGCTGGGTTTCCAGGTATCCCGGGTCCACCTGGCCACTCTTGTGAAAGAGGAACTCCAGGGATCCCAGGACCACCAGGACTCCCTGGGGCTCCAGGCAGTCCAGGTAAGTGTCATGAATTTTCAAGAACTACGAAGAGTCTGGTGTTCAGCCTGTCTACAGATTAACAAAGTTGCTTCTTGCTCTTTTATGGATATTGACTGAACCAAGAGTACTAGGCCAGAGACAAAGGACATTATTATTCAAGAGCTTCATGTTGGTTTGCATCACTTCCCCCTTGTCACCCACATTCCATGGGGCTGTGTAAATTGGGGTGGCTATGGGCTGCATTATGAGAGTGGAGCACCGAGCCTGGGAACACCACTCCTGTATGACAGCCTGCAAGAAAGCCTGCTTCACGTATTAGAGGAGACAATATAAGCCATCTGACATGGTTGCCTCCTGCAAACACCTCCTTCAGAAATAGCCCAGGTAAAGCATCAGGACTCTGCATTATTGACATACCCAGCAAGACACTAGGTGTGTGAGAGATTCATGAGGGATTGTCTTCCAACAGTGCTAAGGGGCTGTCTCTATCCATGTCAGGTGCTGTAACAATATACTTTAGACTAGGTGATTTATAACAACAGAAATGTATTTCTCATAGACCAGGAAGCTAGGAAGTTTAAGAAAATGGCACCCGTAGATTTAGTGTCTGGGGAAGACCTGTTCCTCATAGATGGCGCCTTCTGTGTCCTCACATGGCAGAAGGGACAGACAGCTCTCCTGCACTTCCTTTTGTAAGGTCATTAATGCTACTTGTGATGGCTCTTCTCTCATGACTTAATGACGTTCTAAAGACTCCATCTCTCCCTCTCCCTCTTTCTCTTTTTAATTGCCAGAGAGTATATGTGCTTACTGGAGAGAAAAGGAGAGAAAACACCCCAGTGGGGTGTGGTCATGACACAATCTCTTCAACTCTATTTCTCCATCCCATCAGGATTTGGGGCACACATGTACAGGAGCCTAGAATGTTTTCCAGGCCACGGTCGGCTGTGTGGGATAGCTACCTGAACCACTATGCTGTGGGACCAGCCAGACTCTTTCTCTTAATACTACAACACTGGCAATTAAATCTCAACATATGAATTTTGTAGGGATTCATTGAGACCAAAGCAGAGCTATTTCCAAAATGATCTTAATTTCACCATTCGGATAGTCAGCTCTGTTATTTAAATCCTGTATCTTTTATCCAAATGCAGGAATATACCATTTAGGGCAAAAGTTGTCACTACGGCCTCTTTCTAGCACCAGTAATGCTAGATGGTGTTGCTTTAACATTTATAATTCTCTCATCACATTTAGGTGAATGACGTTCACTGGCCAGAACTTCCAGAAGCACCTGGAAAGGTTTTTTTTGTATGAGTTTTTCTCCCCTAACAGTAAATGCCAATACAAAGTTTGTGCCTCACCCTATCCATTTTCACCCGCTCAAGGAATTCTGTATAGTCTTGATTCATCTTTACTGGGAGATGATTATTCAGGAGATCTGTCCTTTGGATAGCATTCTGAAAAACATATTTTTAGACTGATGAAAATCTGTTTCCTCTATTTTAGCCAGTTGGTACTTTTTATTATATTTTACTTTGTTGGTACATAGTTTAAGCTACTGTGAGTGTTTTCTTGCTTTATGTGTGTGAAGACCATCTTCACTTTCACACATTGGGGTCACTGTGGTTTGTTCCAGGTACCCCAGGATGGAAAGGGCAGCGAGGAGACATGGGGCCTCCAGGGCCAGCTGGGATGAAGGGCCTCCCTGGCTCCCCAGGACTGCCAGGTGCAAATGGACCCCCAGGACCACCAGGAATCCCAGGTCTCATTGGGGAAGATGGGCCTCCTGGTCTTCCAGGCCTGAAGGGTGGGTAACCCTTTCCCATTATTCTCCCCTCCCCCATTTTATGAATGTGATACTCACTGCCACATGAAGCTTGTTAGTTTGACCAAAGTAATAGAAGCTACTGCTAAATTAGCCTGATTTTGTCCTTCCCTTAATGATACCCTTCTCTCCCTCTGTGTTGTTATTTCCAGTGTCAGAATGTCTTAGCCTAGGTGAGTGAAGGGAATTGAAAGTGTGAGGTTCACACAACCCATCAGCTCTCTGTTCAAAGCCTGGGGAGCACCCACAGGATAGTCCTTTCATTCTGATGGGCCCTCGACCCTCAAGCCCAACCCGGTCTTCTGAAACCACTGTAGAAGCACTGTGGGGTCAGTACTCAGAAACATCAGGGTCTACACTTCAGGTCTATAGGGTAGAAAGCTGAGGACTGGGCGGGCGAGCATGGCTAATACTAATAAACACAGGGAGATCAATGCCTGTTAGTTATGTTCAATATAGTCCCAGTCAGGCATTTTGTGGTGGACTGTGAACACAGGTACAAATGCAGTACCCATCTGTTAAAAGTCTTTCTAAAAATTCATCTTCCCATTTCATCAGGACCCCAAGGGCTGCCTGGGTTCCCAGGTTTTCCTGGAGAGAGGGGAAAGCCTGGCTCAGAGGGACGACCTGGCAGGAAGGGAGAACCTGGAGAGAAGGGTAGGCGTGGTGCTCTGGGAGAGCTGGGCGTGAAAGGTGCTAAAGGTAAGAGCACTCAACAGCACGGCGATGTGCGGTATGCTGGTCTCCAGCATTTGAGCAACACCTATAAATGTGACCCCTGAACAATAAAACAGGACTGTTCTGCAGCTTACGTTCCACTTCCATTTAGTTCTATGGTGTTCATTTTAGAATTTTAAATAAAATTAATTTTCTGTACTTATCAATCTTATTTCATGTAATTATGGTAAATAAATTCTTTGATTGATAGAAGAAATTATTTTTAGAGAGATTTTTCCTATAGGGCACATGCACTTGCCAGAGAGATAGAGAGAGACAGAGAGACAGAAAGTGAGAAATTAACCCCCAGGGAGGATGGCCACACCACAATCCCTTCTCCTCCATTTTTCTCTCAGAAGTTTGGGCATGCATGCACATGTACCCAGCATAAGTTTTAAGCTGACGAGTCTGGGACCTGAACCACAGTTGACTACATGGGAGTCCAGTGATGTAACCATTATGCCATCCGCTGGTCTCATGAACTGTTTATTCTTTTTATTGTTACTTGCCAGAGAGAGAGAGAGAGAGAAGGAACATGAGAAAGCACCTCACAAGGAGAATGATCATGCTGCAATCCCTTCTCTATTTCTTCTTTTGGGATTTTGGACATGCACACGCATGTGCCTGATATGTTTCTCAAGCTGCCATGTCCAGAACTCAAACTGCGTGGTCATCCATGTGGGATTCTGCCACCTTAAACATCTGACTCACCCAACAAGTGGTTCTTAATGCATGGAGTTAGAGCTACTGGCTTTCAGAGAACTCTCTCACCTGTTGGGGAGGAGGTATAGGCAGGGTGTCTCTCCTCCAACCTGTGTCAGTTAGAACAGAGCCAGCACTTGGCAGCAAATGATCAATTGGTGTGGTTCAAACTGGACCCAGCAGCTTGAAATACACAACAGGCATGTGTGCATGTGTGCCAAAAATCCCAAGAAGAGAATGAAAAAGAAGGGACTGTGGCATGGCCACTCCCCCTGGGGGATGCTTTCCTACTTTCTCTTTTTCTGTCTGTTTCTATGGCAAAAACAAAAACCAGGGGCTGACAAACGTTTTTCTGAAAAAGCCTGAATATTTTGGCACTGCAGGCCTGCTACTCAGTTTGGCTTTTGTAGCATGAAAGCAGTAACGGACAACATGTAAATAAATGAATATAAAAGAAAATTTGCTAGAAACTGTTATTCGTGTTTCACAGTCTGCACATACTATATAATACTACTTTGTGGTTTTTTTAAAGAATTACTTTATTTAACTTTATTTATTTTTAATTTGAGCAGAGAAGGACAGAGAGAGAGAGAGAGAGAGAGAGTGAGAAAGCAAGCCACCAGGTCCAGAGCTCGACTGCGGTCAGTCATATGGGAGTCCAGTGCCCCTAACCACCACGCACCTGCTGGCCACATTACTTTGTGTTTTATGTTTTGAGTTTCCCCACCAACCATTTAAAAAGTGTAAAAGCCTCTCCTAACTCCTGAGTTGTACTAAAACCGGCAGCAGGAGGGATGTGGCCCACAGGTTTGCTGACCTCTCAGCTAGAGTGCGTCCACTTCCATCTGGACCGAGAATCGAGTTTCCCCAAAGTTTCACGTGAAGAGTTTTCATTACTATAAAAAATAGGGCTTTCTAGACCACACTGCGTTGGATGTTTTATGCACATCCTGGAGCTGTTGCACCTCTTAGCCCAGAGGCTGCAGCAGGTGAGGGTGGCATTTCCTGTCCAGTGTTGAGAAGGAATGTCTGAGAATTTTCAGAACCAACATGCTTGCCCTTAAAGCCCTTTGGGCAAATAGCCATATATTTCATTCACATTACTTTTTGCTCTTAGTTGATCGACTCTACTATTAGCTTTTGTTTTCTTAGTTTATAAATTATTTATACAGAATCAAAAAATTATAGCATCACTCTTTGATAGCTTGGACAAGTAACATTTGCTGTGTTATTATGCTATTATACAACTATCCCACTAAAAATTAAAAATTGGATTAATACCAGTGATATGATAGTAAACTAACTCTGTGCAATTAAAAAAAAAAAAAGGCCCTGATTTGTAGTGTTTGCTGATTGCTGTGGTGTAAATATTTCTACCTCAATGTAATAAATACCCTCACCATGGCCTAAATACTATCACTAGAGCTGATTTAAAGATACCGATGGCTTAACAACTGGATTACAAGATTCTTGAAATGTTAGTAATCAGCTCTTGCTGTGCTGGTATGGGCTCACTCCAGCACATCCTACAGTTGAAAGTGTTCACAAAATTCGTCAGAAATGCGGCAAACCCTTTCTACCTTTAGGAAAACTATGTGAGAAATTAGTCCTTCCTGCTCCTCCTCCCATTGTTAGTTCTGAACTTGTTCTTTTAATGTAAAGAAGGTTGTAGAGAATGGCTAGGAAGGGGAAGTGAACATACAAGATGGGCAATTCCAATTTATAGGAGGAAGAGACATTTTTGTAGACCATACTTTCTAAACCTGTCTTGACAGACTTACAACTCCAAGACCAGATGGTTGATTTTAGTAAACATTCACTGAGCACTCGGGTACAGCAGACCCCATGAGTGGACAAGTGGGAACCGGAATGTAAAAAGCACAGCCCTTTCCTTAGGAAACCAGTCTACACTGCTAACGTGGTGTGATGTGTAAACACGTATTTTGCAGGTTAAATGGGGATTTGTAAAGAGGAGGTAAAGTGTGGTTATGGACAAAACACTATATGCTGCTTCTCTTTGTTTTGTTCTTGTATAATTAACATCTAAAGGAGCAAAGGGACTTCCTGGAGACGAAGGAGAAATGGGCATAATTTTAAAAAGAGGGAGACCTGGAGAAGCTGGGCCTCCGGGAGATGATGGATTCCCAGGAGAAAGAGGTAACATGGGTTAACCATACTAAGTAACTGACATCTTCACAGATCATTCAAGCAAGGATATGTGTTAGGCAACTTACCCGCTCACACGGAGGTTAGGAAAGGCCTGTTTGTTGAGGTATAGGTCAGTATTTCTGAACATGGTGGTACAGATTTTGCTTTCTCGTGCTGAAACTTAGGTTAAGTTCATATGTATTTACAGATTTGTATATTTCAAACTAGAACCACCCTGAGAACGACATAAAATACCCATTTCAGGTTTAAAGTACCTCTGTTTTGAGTGGTGGTCTCCCAGTGAAGAACATACTGACTACCCCAGTCCTTTTAAGCAGTGTCTCTCAGGCTCCAAGGTACAGACTGATCACCTGGGAACCGTGTTAAAATGCAGACTCTGAATCTGTCAGTCTAGGGGAGCAGGAAGCCTGCCTTTTTTGTTTGTTCGGTTTTGGTTTTATTTTATTTTTTAGTTTTGGTGTGGGGTGTTTGCACTCACCAGACAAAAGGAGATAGAGAGAGAAAAAAAAAAGTGAGAAATCGCTTCCTGGGGTGATGGCCATGCAGCAGTTCACACATGCACATATGTCTGGCATGATCTCAAACCGCCAGGTCCTCTACTTGTGCCTTGAAGTTGGCCATATGGGATCCAGGGCCTCACCCTCCACACCATCAGCTGGCAGGGAACTCTGCTTTCCTAGTAAGCGCTCCCGACGCTTGTACATAGCTTGGTACAGAGCACAGAGACATCACACGGTCAGCGTCCAGACAGCCACATTTGTGTTTGGCCTGAACTGCAGGCTCAATCTGCCTGAGGCCTGGGTTCTTTGCACTTTCTCCTTAGCTAGCTATTGGGGCACCAATGTTTTAACTTCTCTGAGTAATTTCTTCCTCATTTGTGAAATGAGAAATGGAAGTAAACAATCCTTCCTGCCCCCCCCATTAGTCCTGAATTTATTCACAGCAGCTTCTTACAGTGAAGATACTGAAGTAAGATGTCAGGGAAAAGCAGCTTGGGGCTAGAATCCAGATTCTCCGTCCCTTTGGCTTCATCTCCAAATGTGGGACCAAGTTTATTCACTGATATTGCCAGCCCTAGATGTCATGGAAGAGCTTTGCTAACACTTTCCACCCCATCAGGTGATAAAGGATCTCCCGGGATGCAAGGGAGAAGAGGAGAGCCAGGGAGATACGGACCACCTGGAATTCACAAAGGGGAACCTGGAAGAAACGGACAGCCAGGACCTCCTGGACCCCCAGGCCTTCCGGGCTCCCCTGGGCTAAGAGGGGTCATTGGTTTTCCAGGATTTCCAGGTGACCAGGTAAGGGGCTACTGCGTCATGAGGAAAGACATAGTAAGGCTCTCTGCTCTTAGGGAGCCCGGAGTAGTCATAATTGCCCATGTATATGGCTGGTCTTTCCCTGGGGTTTTGCTTTTAAACAGTGGACCCCAACCTTTTTGGCACCAGGGATCAGTTCCATGGAAGACAATTTTCCACAGATCAGGGTTGGGGGTGGTAGTTTTGAGATGATTCAAAACATGACATTATAACATATAATGAAACGATTATGTAACACATGATAATACAGTACTTGCAGCCTCTCCTCAGTGCTAGCCGCCTCAGCTTCACTTCAGCTCATTAGGCATTAGATTCTTACAAGGAGTATGCAACTTAGATCCCTCGCAGGTGCAGTTCACAATAGGGTTCACCCTCTTATTAGAATCTAACGCTGCATTGACCTGACAGGAGGTAGAGTTCAGGGGTAACGTGAGCCATGGGGAGTGACTGTAAATACAGATGAAGCTTCACTTGTTCGCCTACTGTTCACCTCCTGCTGTATAGCCTGGTTTCTGACAAGCCACAAACCAATATGAACTAGTACTGGCCCAGGGGTTGAGACCCCTGATATAAGGAGTAGCACAAAGGAAGAATGGTACTCTCTAGAAGGCTATGACATAACTGAAATGTCTGACCAGTGCTCATGCTGGCTCTCCTCCCATACATGACTTCAAGTCACATAATCTGCATGTTCTAGTTTGGTTTAAACCACTCCACAGAGACTTCCATATGGCTGCTGGTTTACTGAAAGGAAATGTCATCCTGAAAAACTACCCAAGCTGTTTCTAAGTCTTCCCATTCAATTTTAGATATTGCAGATTTTATTTTAACTATATTCAGTTGTTACTATCATGAGCAAAACGTCCCTTGAAAAGTCAGGGTGTAGAATAGAGTAACTTACATCACTACTTCTGGAAAATGTGATATCATTTACTATCTATCTTTTGGACTAAAGTGGATTTTTAAAGTTTTTGGTGTGACATGGCTTCTAATAATGTTTTAATCAGTATCAGGATGCTGCCTGTTGATATTGGTAACTAATTCTGGAAGAGTTTGGCCAACTTTTAAAAACTGTGCACAAGGGAGGGGGAGCAGTGGGTGGTTTAGTGGTTAAGGTGCTGAATTCCCACAAGGACAACCATGGTTTTAGCCCTGGACCTGGTGACTTGAAAATCATGCTGTGTGTGTGTTTATGTGTGTGTGTGTGCATTAGCGTGCCCTGTAAGAGAAGGAAATGTGGCAGGGTCATCCACCTAGGGGGTGATTTCTTACTTTCCTTCTCTCTGTCTCTCTCTGGTAGTGCACGCGCCCTGTGGGGGAGGTGGGGCAGGAACCCCTAAAGGAAAAAAAAACAAAACTGGTCATGTGTAGTACTATACTCTTTCTTTTTATTTCCCACTACAAATGATAAAAGCCAAACTGGCTTCAGAACATCATAATTGTACCATATTAGGCCATGCAGCTGCCATTTGCATTAGAAACCCAATTAAAGCCTTACCTCTGTTTTATTACATTTTCAGGGTGAACCAGGTTCTCCAGGCCCCCCTGGGTTCTCAGGGACTGATGGAGCAAGAGGACCTAAAGGTATGGTTTGAAAATTGGGTAGCCATCTGCCAAACTCATAGTCCTATGTATTTATAACACAGTGAGTGAGCGTCTTTTGCATGACGGGCAAACTGCAGCCCCCAAGGACTCTTCTTAGACTATACTCAACAGTTGAACACTTAGAACCCAGCAACCCACATTCATTAACCAGATCCAGGACCCCAGATAGGAACATTGTGCCCACAGGTTCATCAGATCTTCCTCAGGGAGAGTCTTTGCAGACCTCACCAGTCGGCTTGGGTGCAAGGACACCAGGTCCACGTTAGGGGGCAGTGTCCACCTTGGATTAATATTTTTCTTTCACTCTGACAGGATTCTTCTTTTTTTAACCTTAGCCTTTAGCTCACTATCAGTATATAGGTTTGATGGGAATGTATTCTTCATTTTAATATCTTATTTTAAAACAAATTAAAACTTAAAAACTTGAAAATGTAAAATGCTAATTAATTAACCACCCAAAGTCATTTTCCTTACAAAGGATACATACTTTTTACACTTTGAGAGACATTCCATTAAAAATATGATAATCACTCTAAGAAAATGCAACTGTGACTACTTATTACTTCCGGAAGAATAATCTAGATCTCTTCTTCAGATACAGTTACAAATAGGGAAGTCTTTATATTCGAGTTGGATATCTTATAACTTCAGTGTTCAATTTCCTTACCTATCAGGGTTTTTTTTAAAGAATTATTTTATTGGGAACCAGCAGTTAGTGTAATGGCTATGTCGCTGGACTCCCACGTAGTCGACCGCGGTTTGCGTCCCAGACCCGGTGGCTTAAAACTCAAGCCAGGCGCGTGTGCGTGCGTGCCCAAGATCCCGAGAGGAGAATGGAGGAGAAGGGATTGCGGCGTGACCATCCTCCCTGGGGAGTGATTTCTCGCTTTCTGTCTCTCTGTCTCTCTCTGTCTGTCTGGTGAGCAACGCACCCTATAGCGAAAAACATCTCTCCAAAAAATAAAAATAAAAAATAAATAAAAGAATTATTTTATTTAACTTTATTTATTTACTCACTTATTTTAATTGGGCCAGAGAAGGACACAGAGAGAAAGTGAGAAAGCAAACCACCAGGTTGGGGACTCGAACCACGGTCAGCCACGCAGGAGTCCTGCGACATTAACCACCACACCACCTGCCAGCCCCAATTACCTTACCTATCAGTTTACCGTAGCTTTTTGCCTCCTTCACAGAAGCTCACTGCTTCTCACTCTCTTCATGCTTGTGTTAACCATGTTTGTGGGAAGCTAAAGTGCACTCAGGGTACGGAGAGTAAAATATGTCTCCTGTCCACAGATAGGAGATGCAGTTCCCCAGACCATAATGCTACTGGAACCTAACTCTTACACGGCCCATGTTTCCCCATGGCTGTTTTTTATTTGCCTATCAACAGGCTCCATCACTCTTTCCTCGGTACTTTTTCTGGCCCTTTCTGGAATTTCTGGATAGGTGTGGTTGGTACTCTAGTCCGTTCTATTTCAGGACAACTCATGATAGTTCTTCCCCAATGTCCAAGGCTGCAAATTCTCACTTTCCGATTCCAACTTCTCAAGGACAGACTGGCTGCCCTAGAACGGGTAGATTCCTGCTTGTTGAGCAATCAGCCATGATTGTGAATAGGGTCGGACAAGAAGACACTTCCTCAAGGGGTGGGTAGGATTCTTAGAAGGAGATGTCAGTGGCAAGTTCTGTAAAATGTGCCTGCCTTTCCTTTCCTATGCTCTGTGACCCCACCTTCTTTCACACTCCATTTTGAGCCCGCCCTTAACACTGGCCCCCAGCTGCAATGTAAGTTGTTGGGTCAGGAAACACTATGCAGCAGTATCGAACAGGCTTGCGGCACTATGGGATCCTTATCTGTAGTGTCCTTCGAACGTACCACTTCTTGTCCATTCATCAATAGAGTATGTCTTTGTGGTTTATTTTCACAAGGACATTGAGTTGAATTTCCTTGCAAAAGAGCTTGAAATGTGGTTGTAGCGTCTGAAACAGGGACACTTTCTGCTTTTTGTTTTAAAACGTAAGACCTAGTCACCCAACGCCAAGCACAGGCATATGTTGTTGTCGTTGTTGTTGTTGTTGTTGTTGTTGTTGTAGTTTAGAGAGAGATTTTTTGCTATCGGGTGTGTGAGCTTGCTGAGGAGACAGACAGAAACAAAGCAACAGAAAGCAGGAAATCACTCCCCAGCAGGGATGCCCACGCCACACTGCAATCCCTTTTCCTACATTCTCCTCTCAGGATTTTGAGCATGCATACACACACCCCTGGCGTGAGTTTCAAGATGCCAGGTCTGAGACTCAGACTGTGGTCAGCCATGTGGGAATCCAGCTGTGTAACCATTACACCATCTGCTGCTCCTAGGCGTATGTCGTTTTATTGTGCTTCGCGGGTATTGCAGATTGGAGGTTTGGACAAGTTTGCCTTGAGCAAGTCTGTCGATGCCAGTTTCCCAACAATACGTGCTTCTTTCATCTCTGTGTCACCATTGTGGTAATTCTTACAATATTTAAACTTTTTTATTCTTCTTTTATCTGTTATGACAACCTGTGATCAACAATCTTTAAAATTGCTATTGGAATTGTTTTGGGGTGCCACGAACCATACCCATGTAAGATAGCAAACATAATTGTGTGTGTTGATTGCTTCATGGACTGGCTGTTCCCCTCGCTCTCTCTTTGCTCCAGCCTCCCTATTTTCTGAGACACAACATTATTGAAAATAGGTCCATTAGTTACCCTACAATAGCCGCAAGTGAAAGGAAGAATTGCACGTTTCTCTCTATAAATGAAAGCTAGACAAGCTTGAGCTTAGCAAGGAAGACACATCAAATGTCAAAGCAGGCCAAAAGCTAGGCCTCTTGTGCCGAACATCCAAATCATGCATGTAACCAGAAGGTTCTTGAAGGAAATTAAAAGTGCTGAATGAATGATAAGAAAATGAAACAGCCTCCTTGCTGACATGGAGAAAGTTTTAGTGGTCTGGATAGATGATCTAACCAGCCACATTTCCATAAGCTGGAGCCCAATCCAGAACAAGGCCTGAACTCTCCTCAATTCTGTGAAGGCTGAGAGAGGTGAAGAAGCTGCAGAGAAAAACTTGAAGCTTAAGGAAAGAAGTCATCTTCCATTCATATAAAAGTACAAGGTGAAGGGAGCAGCAGATGGTGTGATGCTGACATTGCTGGACCCCCACGTAGTTGACTGTGGTTCAAGTCCCAGGCCCAGTGATTTAAAACTCATATTGGGTGCCGTGTCCAGAATCCTGAGAGGAAAGGTGAAGAAGCTGCAGAGAAAAACTTGAAGCTTAAGGAAAGAAGTCATCTTCCATTCATATAAAAGTACAAGGTGAAGGGAGCAGCAGATGGTGTGATGCTGACATTGCTGGACCCCCACGTAGTTGACTGTGGTTCAAGTCCCAGGCCCAGTGATTTAAAACTCATATTGGGTGCCGTGTCCAGAATCCTGAGAGGAGAATAGAAGAGAAGGGATATGGTCATTCCCTCTGAAGGGGCAGGGGAGATTTCTCAATTTCTGCCTCTCTGTCCCTCTTGTGTCTCTGGTGAGCCCACATAACCCATAGCAAAAATCTCTCTACAGAAAAAAAATAGTACAAGGTGAAACAGCAAAGGCTGACATAGAAGTTGCAGTAAGCTATACAGACGCTCCAGCTAAGATAAGTGATGAAGGTGGCCACACTAAACAACCAGTTTTCAGTGTAGCTGAAACAGCCTTATTGTAAAGAAGATGCAATCTAAGACTTTCATAGCTCGAAAGGAGGCCAATGTCTGGCTTCAAAACTTCAAAGACAGGCTGACTCTTGTGTTAGGGCTAATGCAGCTGGTGACATGAAGTTGACGCCAACACTCACGTAACATTCTGAAAATCCTGAGCCTTTTTCAAAATTATGCTAAAAGTGCCCTGCCTATGCTTCACCAGGAGCCATAAAGCCATGATGAAACCAGAGCCGTTTGTTCACGGCATGGTTTACTGATCATTTTGAGCCTACTGTTGAGACCTGTTGCTCTGAAACGAACAAACAAAAAGATTTATCTTCAAATATTACTGCTTACAAAAGATGCATCTGGTCACCCAAGAGATGTGTTTTTCATGTCTCCTAACACAGCACCCATTCTGCAGTTCATGCATCAAGGAGTAATTTTGCCTTTCAAGTCTTATTATTTAAGAAACATTTATTATTTATGTATGTATGTATGTATTTATTTATTTATTTATTGTAGAGACATATTTTTGCTATAGGGCACGTGCACTTGCCAGAGAGACAAAGAGAGACAGAAGATGAGAAATCACCCTCCGGGTGGATGGCCACACGGCAATCCCTTCTCCTCTATTCTCCTCTTGGGATTTTGGGCACACATGCACACACCCCTGGCATGAGTTTTAAGCCACTCGACTCGAATTGCAGTCACCTATCTGGGAGTTCAGCGACATAACCATTACAACATCTGCTAGCTCCTAAGAAATATATTCCTTTTTTGGAGAGGTTTTTGCTATAGGGCATGTGCACTCACCAGAAAGAGAGAAAGCAAGAAATCACCCCCCCCCCCCCCGGGAGGTACCCCATTTTACACCCCCTTTATTGCAACCCCTTCTCCTCTATTCTCCTCTCAGGATCTTGGGCACTCATGCACACATGCACGGTGTGAGTTTAAGCAACCAGGTCCGGGACTCAAACCACGGTTGACTACATCTGGGAGTCCAGTGACATAGCCATTATGCCAACTGCTGGTCCCAGGAAATATATTTCTTACAGCTGTCACTGCTATAGATTATGATTCCTCAGGAGGATCTTGGAAAACATAGTGGAAAACCTTCTAGAAAGGATTCACCATTCGAAATAACATTAAGACATTCGTGACTCATTGGAAGGAAGTCAAAATATCAACATTACGGGAGTTTGGAAGAAGTTGATTCCAGCCCTTGTGAACGGCTTTGGGGTATTTGAGACCTCAGTAGAGGAAGTAACTACATATGCAGTAGAAACATCAAGTGAACTAGCATTAGAAGTAGAGCCTAAAGATGTAACTGAATTGCTGAGGTCTCATGATAAGGCTTATTTTTAACTTCTTTATTTATAGGTCTTTGCCATAGGGCACATGTGCTTGCTGGAAACAGGAAGAGATAGTGAGAGGGAAAGTGAGAAATTGCCCCCGCCTCCCCAAGGGGGCATTGCTATGCCACAATCCCTTCTTCTCCATTCTCTTCCTGGGATTTTGGGCATGCATGCACACGTGTCCAGCATGATTTTTCAAGGTAACAGGTCCAGAATTTAAACCATACTCAGCCACGTAGAAGTCCAGCACCTTAACCACCTTGCCACCTGCTGGCCCCTCATGATAAATCTTGAACTAATGAGGAGTTGCTTCTTATGGATGAGCAGATAAAGTGGTTTCTTGGGATGAAGTCTGCTCCTCGTGAAGATGCTATGAACATTGTTGGCATGACAACAAAGAACTGAGAATATCACACAAAACTTGGTTGATAGCGCAGTGGCAGAGTTTAAGAGGACTGATTCCAATTTTGAAAGAAATTCTACTGTGGGTAAAATGCTATCAAACAGCATCTCATACCACAGAATTTTTTTTTTTAATAAAGGGAAGAGTTCATTATTGCAACAAACTGCATTGTTGACTTTTATTTTTTTAATTGCCACACTCAATCTTCAACAACCACCACCATGATCCGTCAGCAGCTGTCAACAGGTGATCGTTAACATTTTTTTAGTAATAAAGTATTTTTAAATTAAGGAATGTACATTTTTTAGACATAATGCGATTGCATATTTAATAGACTATGGCATAGTGTAAACATAACTTTTATATGTACTGAGAAACCAAAAAAGTTGTCTGGAACCAAACCCACAATATTTCCAAAGCATGTCTGTAATTTCTTAAATAAAAACCTAAAGTTCAAAGTTTTTTACGGACTTAAAAACTCGAACATATCAAGACCTATGTGGGTTTTTTTAATTTTTAAATTTTATTTATTTATCATTATCTTTTCAATGATTGCTATGAACTATAGGAGTGTGTGTGAGGCCAGCAGGTCGGTGTGGCGTTTAAGGTGCCAGACTTCTACATGACTGATGGTTCAAGTCTCAGACCTAGCAGCTTGCTTTCTCACTATCCGTCTCTCTCTCTCTGTCTCTCTCTGGTGAAATTAAAAATACTAATAATAGGAACCAGCATGTAATGGTTACATTGTTGGACTCCCATGTAATTGACCATAGTTCGAGTCCTAGACCCCGGTGGCTTAAAACTCACATCAGGCACGAATGCATTTGTGCCCAAAATCCTGAGAGAAGAATGGAGGAGAAAGGGGAAATGATGTTTCTCCCCGCTTTCCCTTCCCCCAGGGGGAGATATTATTTCTCACTTTCTGTCTCTCTGGATCTCTCTGTCTCTGCAGCAAATGTACGCACCTTATAGCAAAAATCTCTCTATACAAAATTAATAATAATAAATAAAATGAAATAAATAATTCTTTAAAAAGTGTGTATGTACATGCATATGTGAGTGGTATTTAAATCATATCTTGCATCTATATTTCTATTTGCTCTTGTTTAGGAAAGAAAAGTATGTTTTTATAAAAAGCCTTTCCTGGACTATTTGAAGATACACTATAAAAGCAAATAGCATGAAAATCATTAAGCCACTTGTATGAGACCAAATTAAAATTTCTTAAAATAATGTTACATGTGTCCTTTTACTTCCAGGAAACAAAGGTGATCCTGCCAGTCAATTTGGTCCACCTGGCGCAAAGGGTGAGCCAGGTAGCCCTGGATGTCCAGGTATATCTACATATGTTTTTCTTATTACACCAACAAAAATAATTTTCTTTGAAAAATAGAATTATTGGGACCAGCAGGTGGTGTGGTTGTGGGTGCTCTGGACTCCCACGTGGCCTACTGCAGTTCGAGTCTCAGTCCTGGTGGCTTGAAAATTATACAGGGAGCATGTGCATGCTTGCCCAAAATCCCAGGAGGAGAATGGAGGAGAAAGATTGTGATGTGGCCATCTCCCCTAGGTAATGATTTCTCCTTTCTCCTGTCACTGTCTCTGTCGCACTCTGGTGAGCGCACACACCCTATGACGATACCAAAAGAAAAACAAAAAGAAAAAGAAAAACAGAATAATTACTTTTATCCTTTTAACTGTCAAAAACTGTATCAAGGGAACCAGCAGTTAGCGTAATGGCTATGTCGCTGGACTCCCACGTAGTCAACTGTGGTTCGCATCCCGGACCCGGTGGCTTAAAACTCACGCCGGGCGCGTGTGCGTGTGTGCCCAAGGTCCCGAGAGGAGAATGGAGGAGAAGGGATTGCGGCGTGGCCATCCCCCCTGGGGGGTTATTTCTCGCTTTCTGTCTCTAATGTCTTTCTCTGTCTGGCGAGCGCACACACCCTATAGCGAAAATCTTTACCCAAAAATAAATGTATCAATATTTTCTTCTCCTTTGCCTATAAAGATGCATACCAAAGGGTTATACGCAGAATCTACCCTTATTCACTAAAAACCAAACGACATAAAACCTTGTCATTAGCAAGAAATCTGTTACCCAAAACAACTGATACAATTTTTTTTTGATCAATAGCAATGAACATGGAATCCCTCAGATCCTGAGGTACCAGTGAGTTCTTGCAGACAATTGAGGATATGTTAGGTGACCCACAGCAGAAGTGAGGGGCAGAGCTGTTCACAGCACCATGTATCACCGGGAAAGGGTAAAGCACTTGAGTTCCCAAAAGGGGACCAAGACCCTAGAGGGGACAGCAGACTTAGGACATTTGGCTATATTGGTTTGTACTCATACATATTTACCTTTCAGAAAATGTCAGGGATATAAATTGGTACTCTCCTCCGGGCCCTATGGAAACATGCATCAATATTTAAACTATGCATACTTTTTGACGGAGGAATTCTACTCCTCGGAACTTACCTTGAGTCAATAATCAGACCAGTGTACAAGACACATACAGAGGATGTCCGTTGCGCGTGTAGAACAAATGTCCACCTACAAATGATTGGTTAAATTAGTTTTGCCCACAGGCATTCAGCTGATAGTGGTCAGGTTAGAAACCAGGTTTGTATTGGGTTGTCAGAAAAGTAATGACGCATTTCCTTAGAGAAGAGCATAGGAAAATACATCATGAATTTTACGACAACCCAATAGTTAGATGGCTCCCTTGTAAATTAAAACACTTCATATTAATAACAGGGTGCATTACCTTAAAATTCCCTGTGGCGATGGTCATGTTTCATTTCACATTCAGAAAGAGTATCTGAGCAATACTATTATGGGAAATTTTATTTTCTGTGTGTACTGTAAGATTGCTAAAATGGAAGTTTAACAGAAAAACAAATAAACAAAAAAAAACTATTAAAAGGGCAAAAACTTCTTTTCTCACTTTCTTTCTCATTCTCTTTCTTTGTGTCTCTTACCTCTCACATGGACACATCTACTTAAATAATGTAACACTTTAAGTGAAGCACACATTTGGTGAGGAAAATAGTTTGGAGGTCAGCATTTGGGAGTTCATAATAAATGCTGTAGTAAGAGGTCAGGGCAAAAAAAAAAAAAAATAGCTGACTCAAAGTCACTCCATTATTTCTGTGCTGTGGTCTTGGGCAAACTGAGTATTTTTTTTCTGAGCTCAGTTTTTACCTCTGTAAACTGGCCCTGTGCATTAATTACAGGGTTTACCTGATGATTCAATGGGAAACTATTTTTAGTAAATAATTATTTATTTACTTTTATTTATCATTATTATTATTGTTTTAAATTTGCCACAGGGCACATATGCCCACCAGAGAGAGACAGAGAGAGAGGGAGAGGGAGAGGGAGAGGGAGAGGGAGAGGAAGAGGGAGAGAGAGAGAGAGAAAGCCACCAGATCTGGGACTTGAACTGCAGCCAGCTGGGTGGGAGTCTAGCACTACAGCCACCATGCCACCTACTGGTCCCAAATGGGAAACCTTGCAAGACATTTATATACTAAAACTACTGCTCAAACATAATCACCATCAGTCAGCAGATCAGGAAGAAACTTTTATACCCCGCTTGGTATTTCTGTGCAAACACTGAAGATGGTAAGATTTTATAAATTCAAATAGTCCAAATGGAGGCCTTAAATTTATCTACCATTTTAAGTTAGAAATCATAAATCTGAGAAATTTTACATGTGAAGTGACTTTCTCAAAAAATTTGCCTTGGCCTAATTTGCCTGGCCTCCTAGGGTTATCTCTATTGAAATTGCTCTCTTTTGCATATGGCATGGTTTAGCTTAGAATTTTGTAATTGTATCTATGTTATTCACTAGCACAGAGTTTACCTAAATATGCTATTTCCATTGACTGGCAAAAGCTGCATTGAATTCGGATGAGCCAAATGAGAAGGCATAAATCTGCAGCTTGTCTCGGGATTATGTGTGATTGTACTGGGTTCAGTCCTATCCCTCCACCCCACTTCACTTCCGAGAGAAAATACAGTAGAGATTAACTCAGGCATTCTGTTCCTATTACAACCACACATTTGAGAGACAAATATGTTAATGCTTTAGTTAGGGTTCCCTCCCTTTTCCTTTCTTTTGTTTGGAGAAGAAAATAATGCCTTACTTTTGTTGCAGAAATATTTTTCAGGATGAATAAGATAACACATAGTGGGGCTAACGGATGTCAATTAAATTAGGTTGGGAACAGGTATAGACTAACGTAGGCTTGTTTCATGTGTGTTCTACATAATGACTATATCTTCCCTCCTAGGTTTGTAAATATAGGACCATACGTTTTTCTCTAGATTTAACCAGTAATGTTCAGCATGGACTACTGGTTTACCTGCATGCATGAGTTAAAGTTGCCCATAAAGATACATATCAAAAAGATCACAGAGAAACACTGCCATGGCATCTCTGGCCTAGGAGAATACAGGATTATATTCTGGGGATTCTCTTTTTTCTACCATGGATCACACAACAATCACGTAGACACAACACAATCCCCTAGGCAGGCCCAGATTTTGGCAGTCAAATGTGACTATGGCAAACCATTAAAATTCGGACTATTTTACAGTCTTTATCATTTAAAAAGTGACACTGACCACTCACGTTGCCCACAGCCACAGGTTGTCACCCCAGCCCTTTCTTTCCTACTGAGAAAAGCAGATGTTACCGCAGGTGCGTTGGCCCATTTTTGAGCCATCATTGTAAATAAACACACAAGGAAATAGTCATCTTCTCTCGTAATCAAACAAATGTAATTTAAGGTGTCTGAAATATCTTATGTATCAGTAAATTAGCAAGAAAACAGATCAATGCACTAAAAAGTTCTCAGTAAAAACACCGCATTACACACAGTAGTGTATAATGTAGTCGTGTGTTACCACAGTGGTGTAAGTCAGGGTAGTCCACATACTCCAAACCACTTGGCAACCTGAACTAAGAACCAGATGCTAAATGGTATATTCTAGAAGAATAGAGACGAGCTGGACTATTCCTTCAGCAAGGTATTGTCATGAGGAAGGGAGTGTACTTGATTTTCAAAAAACTGAATAGACATATCAACTAGATCCAATGTGTGATTCTAGAATGAAAATGGGGTGGACAAACCAATTGTTAAGGACATTAAGAAAATAACTGGAGGATTTCAGCAGGGAATGAGCACTAGATGATATTAAGGATTGCTATTAATTTTCTTGGCTGTGATAATGTTATTTTGGCAATAAAGGAAACTTCCTATGAAGTATTTAGGGATGGAATTCCACAATGACTATGATTTACTTTAAAATACTTCAGCAATGAAAAATGCAAATCAAAATAGCAGACTATTTGCCTAGAAATTCTCCTCCTAGGGTTTTTTCCCCTAAGGAAATAATTTAATAGGAGAAGAAAAATTGACTAAAGACATATAAAAATCATTATGCATAAAAGAAAAGAGTTGGAAATAATTCGAATGGCCAGTAGTAGGAGAAAATTAGATTAATTATTAATTTAATTAAGGTTGATTCAATAAGCCTTCAGTTAGTCATTTAAAAATGGTAGCTTAGGAAAAACTATGAAAAACTGGCACAATCACTTACAATATAGTGCTGATTTTTAAGAATACAAAATTGCGGGTATAATTTGCACATGTGTATACATATGGAAAATTGTGTTAAGAGGGGGGATTATAGATGTTATATTTTCAATTTTTCCTCAATGTTATCTTTCTTTCAACAGAGTAAATTCAAATATTCGGAAGTAATGTTAGAAAAGAGTGAGGGCTGAGTTGGTGCTTTATTTAGTTAGTTAGTTAAAAGACAGCAATGCCATTTTCTTTTATTTAATTCAACTTATTTATTGCTATTCTTCAATTTGACCAGAAAGAGAGAGAGAGAGAAAGGGAGAATGAGAAAGCAAGCCACCAGGTATGGGACTCAAACCTCAGTCAGCCATGTGGGAGTCCAGTGCCTCAACCACACCACCTGCCAGCCCTGAGTTGGTGACAGTGTCTCAAAGACCCACCTCAGATGTTTGATCCTTCCTTCCTTAGGACATTTGGGAGCGCCTGGAGATCAGGGCTTGCCTGGTGTTCAAGGGCCCAGAGGACCACCTGGAAGGCCAGGACCACCTGGCTCCTACGGACCACCAGGGTGTCCAGGTACCTTGAAAGAATGTCTGAAGACTCTGAGCACTCGTGTATCTCTTGGTGTCATAGGAAGAGCAAGTCTTCTCTCAGACTTAGGTTCAGACAACGGCTCTGTGATTTGCCAGCCTGTCACTGGGGACGGGTCACTTAAACTTACCTATTCTTCACTTACAAAGCTAGTCATATCTCCATGGTTACACTAAATGCCTGAGAATACATAAGACAACGACGGAAGTGCCCGGCAAGGCCCCGGGAACAGAGTGATGGTCTGACAGATAGAAGCCCCTTAGCTCTATCTGGCCCTCCCATCACACCTGCCTCTTAAGGTGCTAGTTTCTCTGTTAGACCTTAGGCAAAAGTCACACTCCCAACGTAGTACTTCCATGGATCCCTTTCCTGCCTGTTGAGAAAAAGGAAAGTTTCCATCATAACTGCCAACTCAATTGTCAAACATTAGAAAGTGTATCTGCTCCTCCTGATATTAGATGAATATTTCTCTCTGGGGTTGAGAGGTCTGAGAAGAAAAAGTAATAAAACAATGTTCCTGGCTATGCATTTGTCAAGAACTTAAATGGCTTTCTTAATGAATGTGATTTATGCATCCTCTGGGTTTCTGTCAAACCTCCCTATCATCCTCAGGTGATCAGGGGATGCCTGGACTGAGTGGACATCCAGGAGAAATGGGGGACCCTGGGCAGAGAGGTCTCCCAGGGTATCCAGGGATACCAGGTCCTCCAGGAATAAAAGGTGAGTCAAAAGGAGATTCAACCCATCAGGAAGATTCAGCCTGATGTGGGCAAATTCCTGGGGCTTCTCTGTACCTGTGAATGTCATTGCTCTTGGTCGGCTCTCTCCCTCCATGGATGCATTAGTATCTTCCTACCCTTCCTTACGCAGGGTGTCAGGTAGGGCCCTTATGGCCTCTGGACTTGTCTTCTACCAGGGAGTATCCAGATGGTGTTGCTACCATCTCTTTTCTGAGAGTGTTTATCAAGTGTTTATTGTGATTTTCACACCTACATTTATTCTCTCTGCAGATAGTTAAGCTCCCATTGGGTCTTAGGTTCTTTGTTAGGTACTTGGTGAAGAGTATTGAAGAAAATGGACATGATTCCTGCCTTCATGGGGCTCAGGGTCTAACAGGAGAGACAGACACTAAAACTATTTGTGTAAATAAGAGGAAGGAAGAGAAGAAATTAAGTTGCTAGATGAGAGTAATTAGTATTCCATCTCTGTTAGGTAATGAAATATTGCTTCTGGTTAAATGTTTTTGCCTTTAAAGGTAATGGCAGAATGGTTAGAAGTCTGATTGTAATACAATACAGTGGCATGTGTAACTAAGAGATTTTCATGCCTTCTTTTTCATTCACCCTGTTTATCCCTCTTCAGTCAATTTCTTCTTTTTTAGAAAAAGTACTTTTTTTCTGTGGTACTTTGGGTATACCACTAGATAAACACTGAAGTTGTTTTACCTTTATTGGTGTATTCACCAAACTGAGTATGATTTTTTTTTTTTATTATTATAAATTTTTCTTTTCTCATCACAACACACATATGAATTTTCCATCCAAAATTCACCAAACAGTATGATTTTTTAAATGTAATGACCTTTTTTATATCCTTGGGCCCCAATAGATACCCAAGGCGTATGCTGCTTGGTGATATGAATAAATTAATAAGTGAATGATTGGATAATAAGAAAAATGAACAGCTGAGTCAACAGCTGTGACGCTGAGGGTCTTACCGCCCCTTGGTAGACATCTCTAACCAAGCTTGCTCCATCTCCTCTGTCCTCCCTTCTCCTCCTACCTGTTTTCTGCTCATGAGTCATACATTTACTGAAGTTTGGAGAAATGAAAAGAGTGGGAAACCTCTTCTTGGATTCTTTGTTTAGAAAGTTCAAATACTATTTTTCGTTGCTTTCCCTTTTTCACTCCTCAGATAGCTTTCAAGTAACACCAATTTTCCAGCAAGTTGTAGTGTGCTATGTCTTACTTGGGACAATTCTGCAAAGAAGGAAGACATTTATTTTGGGAAGAGTTGGTACACGCATGCATTGCCATGAAAGCAAATAACCTGAGGGTAAAAGTTCCCATGACAAGACAAGATAGCTTGATACTGTTCTTCATCTTTTGACATTTTTAGTAATGGGAAGTTCCTCAATTTAAGATAAGTTTCCAGTTCCAAGCAAAATGATCATTCCATTATATAGAGGTTTCTCTGTGACCATGGCCGTCTCCTGTCTCTGGCAATTCCTACAGCTCTCCTGGGGTATTCTTTGACATTGTGTGTACGTGTGTGTGTGTGTGTGTGTGTGTGTGTGCGTGTGTGTGTATGTGTCTGGAAGATGAAGTTGGCAAAGTACAAAAAAATAATTCCTGTTATTAACCACTTACTGCATTTTCATTTATTTCCTATTTCCCTAGTTTAGCAAAATAGCAAAGCTTTTCAAGTGTGTTGGTACCATCACAAGATATGCCCAGTTTGACCAAAATGGCAAGGTTTACGTTACTATTATTGATTCTTTTCCCTTGAACTCGTCTGCATTTATCACATAACCTCAGTATGACATGCTATTAAAAATGAATAGCTAATGAATTTGGCTGATAACAAACTATCTTGAGAATGAATCTCGATCACGCGGTTCTGCGCTGTGAAATAGTAAGCTTGTTAGAAGAGCTAAGGAAATGACCACCTCGACCCACACAGTCGTCCTGTGCCAGGCGAGGCTGCAGTGGGACCTCCTTACCACGCAGTGACACTGTCTCACTGCAACAGCCCAGGAACAACCAGTCTTTTTCAAAAAAGGAACACAAAACAATGAAACACATTCCTAAAAGTTAACACGTGTACAATCTCAACCCATTGTTGCCATTTATCATGCTGATCTAAAAATGAACCACACACTAGCAGAAACACTTTGAACTGAGAAACTAAATATTTGAAGTATGTTCTAAATAAGTCAGGGGGGCTGATTATCTTGTTTGCACAAACCAGCTGCTGAACTCAAAGTTGTTTGCTCTGTTAGAACAGGCCATATGGATTTTGAGTCTTGCTTGTGTTCAGTCGGATCCAAACTTTAACTTAAACATATGCTAAAAGTGGCTTGATTCCTAGATTTACATTTTTAAGTACACATGCCCTCTAAAAGGAAAACATCCATTCCCTAGTTGGGCATTAACGTAAGCCTGAAATAATGGCAACCCAGAGAACATCATCTGTATTATGACAGCAGCTATAAAGAATGTGGCTGAGTATTTTGGCTGATGGTAAAAAAAAAAAAAAAAA